TGACAGAATCAAGGTCTTCTTTTTCCCTCAGGGAGGGAAGCAGTGGCTGGGAAGAAGCCAGACAGGAGGAGGAAAAGCAGCAGGCAAAGAAAGATACGGATCACAAAGGTATGAACCAAAAGCCACAAGGAAAGGTTCACCAGCTAGAAATCTCAGCCTTGAGAGAAAGCGAAGGTTATCCGGGCTTAGAAGCCTCCTCTTCAGTCCTCCCCTGCCAGATCTTTAGAAGTATGTCTAGTATATTCAGAAAATATAACCGGCTGGCTTTCCCTTGCTGTCTTCTACACTGTAGTGCTACAGATTACTGTGGCCATCATCTCCCTTGCAGTTTTCCTTGCTGAAGTCCCATGGGGATCCCTTGGCACCGGCAATGCAGCACAATCCAGAGGCATTACAGGTTTAATTCCTCCAGGCACCAGAACCCAGCAACCCTTGTCTTTCCAAGGGTCCGGTTATTTACCACAGCCCAAGAGAGGGCATCTCTCTACTTTTCTTCCCGCAAGTAGCTGCCTTCCCCTAGTCCAAGACAGTGAACGTGGAGCAGTTACTTCCCCACCTGTCAACACGCATAGCACATTCTAGTTTCAGATTTGCTTTCCTGGCCTCCACTGCTATTACCCTGCCCCACTCTAAGGCTGGTTCAAGGGACTAGTCCTCTTGAGGAATGACGGGATTATGACCAAGTCCTCCACAACAAGCATGACTTATCCTCAGCTGAAACATTTCATGTCCAGTGCTTCAGCTGAGGAGGAGCGTTTCCGGATAGAGGGCTCCTAGCACTATCTGCCAGAAGGCTAATCTTTTATTTTTCCTACATGGATTATCTGTGGAAAGAAAACAGACATGCAGAGCAGTGGGAAAACAGTGGAGAATTATGAGAGAAAGGCCCTGATGTTTGGGTCTCCATTAAATTCCATGCATAAAGTCAGGCAATGCCAGCATAAAAGCTTCAGCTCAAACATCCCTCTAAAACAGTGCTGAAGAAATCAATTATCAACTTCCAGACTAAGATGCTAGGTCTCTGGGGGTTCTCAAAGGAATTTTTTAAATAAAAAATATGTTTCTTTTATTTTTTTATAATAAATATTTTCCATTGCACCATGGAGTCTCCATGAATGCTTTTTACGGACATCCTTTTGTTTTATAATAATTTCTTTAATAAAAGGGCCCTGCCAGTAACAAACTTTAAATCTAAATTAGACAACTCTGGGACACAAATATAGGGAAACGGGGGAGAACATAGGCCAAAGGACCAATAAATACATTTGTCATCTTACAGAAAAGAGAAATTACAACACTGTCCACCCCAGAACAAGCATTAAATTATTAGTGAAGGAAAACTGGCATAATGCCAACCTGGGTTCCAGCCCCAGTGTGTACGTTGTAATTATGTCCATTATGGTTCTTTCATAGTTTGGTGGGTTGAGTCCCTGCTCAAAACATCACTTTGATCCCCAGGAAGAGAAATGCAGTTGGGGGGGGGGGGGGGTCCAAAGACAACCGGTTGCTTGAAATATCTCACCCACGCTATCTCCACTTTCAGATACTTCTTAGGCACCACCTTGCTTCTGTCATCTTTTAAATCCCAAGGGACTTCCTATATCCAGATGTATTTGGAGGTCTGAAGGCTTCTTGCAAGAGTCACAGGGAAGTTTCCAGGGGTGACGGAAAATAGAAGAATGAATGAGAAAAGGTGGGAGCATCTTAAGGCAGCCTTCTCCAACTCTCAGAAGCCCTCAGCCAGCAGAACTAGCTGGGGACTCCTGTCAGGTGCAGTCCAAGGCAGGCGCCAGAGGCTGGGTTGAGCAGGCTGCCTTAACGTGGGTTACTGAGAAAGCCTAGTGGAACCACGGAAGACATGAAAAAGATGGCAACCGAAACTGGCAAACCGCCCCCCCCTCGCCTGCCAACATCTGTCACCCTAGCAACTGACTGCCCTGGTAACCAAACTGAGAACCCCTCTCATTTGAGCAACCAGCCCTTGGCAACCAGGTGGGCTCCATAGCAACCAAATCAAGTTGCCAGTTTCCTCACTACCTAGCAACAGCCCAATGCCACCTGAAGTTTCCCATCCTTTACACCTTGACCTGGGCAATCAGCAGGCCAATTCAACCTCCCCACCATCCCAGTAAAAAATCCGCCACCAATTAATATTCCGATCTCAAGCCACCCCCTTTGTTACCCAACTAGCCCTGGAGTCCATCACTCCAGTCGATTTCTCCAGCCCCAAGAAAGCCAGCCATCCTTGCCAGCCCCTCCCTACTTACACCAGCACCTGGCCGTTTCTATCCATCCCTACTAGCAACTAACAGGCCCCAGTGAAGGAAGAAACGGTGCCCACGGCCCTGGCTCCCATTGAGGAAGTTGTCCCGGTTCTGGGAGGCCCAGTATCCGGCCACACATGTGGGTTGAATGTGACTGGGTGCGCCTCCATACAACCTTGCACACAGGAAGCTAGCAGGGCCTTCCCGGCCTTGAAGTTTAGACACTTTCGCTGATGTCCAAGCCGGCTCTCAGCTTCAAAGGGAACGGTCCCAGGAGGTGTGCAGATTTCCTGCCTCTGAAGTTAGCCTATCAGCACGGGGTGACAAGGGAAAGGAGGCTGGGAAGGGGAAGAGAGGGGAGGGCGGTCTCGGAAAGTCACTGCAGGAGTACGCCCATCTTGTTTCAGCTGAGCCAGGAACAATGCTTGGGAGAAAAGGAGAGAGATGCCTTGTTCCTGGATCTCAGCAAAATGAAACTGTTGGTTTATCCAGGCTTCTGATTCTTTAATCCTCATCTCAGATCTCCAAGCAAACTAGGGGTGTCAGACCTCTTTTGACCCTCTCTGGAATATGAGAGCTGCATTCCGTTTTGGAGGATCCCTCAGGGGCCACGTTCCAAGGGTGGGTAGTGCCAAAGGCAACTGGGGGGGGGGGGGGCAAACATGCAAGCCTTGATTAGCTGAAAGCCGTTACTGCTGGTAACTTGGTCTTTGGGGGGCGTTTCAAGTTTTCAGAAGGGGATAAAGGCCAGCTAAGAATGGGGGTCAGGGGAAGGTGAGGTGGACCAGGGGAAGGCGTGTGGCTGGCTGTGGAACCTCACTGGGCTGAACTGGGACCTCAGGCAGGTTGGGCTTGACCCCTGGACCTCAGGCTTTGAGCCCCTGCTTGAAGTGAAGCTGTGGTCCACGCAGCCACTTATGGCCCCTGCACAGCACAACTGGGAATTTAGGCTAGGGTGGAACACCTCACCCACCCACCCCCCGGACAGGTTGCTTGGTGGAAGAGACTGCTATATGGAGGGAGACATTCTGTCCAGTTCCTGCATTTCTGGGCAACACAGGCCAGATGGACTCGATGTAAAGCACCTTCCCCGCTACCTCTGGGCGGCAGAACTGGCGTTGCAGAAAACAACAGGCATGGCCAAGCCCCCCTAGTCAGGATCTGGGCTGCTCTGGTGGCCAGAACCAGCAGCACTGTATTTGCAGGATTTGTCCCAGGCCCTGCTGAAGCTGCCTGCTGGTGCGTGCCAGCTGGGATGAGGGAGCGGGGCACCACCAAGGAGCCAGCTTTCCCCCAGAACTGGCCCCAGCAAAGCAGGGTGGCTGTAGCGGCAGTGCCTGCACCTTGCCTGACCGTTCCTGCCCCTGGCCCCTGCCTGGGCGCTTTGCCTTGCTGCAGCGCCTGCCCCTTGCCTGCTCTGGAACCTGCCTCGCTGTGTTGCCTCAGCAATGCCAGCTGGCCTGCTGTCTGTGGCTCAGCTTCTGCGCCTTGCTGCACTGGGTTCCTGTGGCCTCCTGCATCTTGCTGTGCTTCATGCCCTCCGTGTACCCTGCCGTGCCTCGTGGCTTGCCTTGCTGTGCACGGCCGCAAGCGCCTGCCTCTTACGGGCGCTTGCTTTGCCTCCCGCCCTGTTATCCTGTCCAAGGTACCTGCACCTCTGTCTGTTCTCCTGGTTCTTGGCCTTTGGCTTGTTCCTGCCCACGTCCTTGTTCTACCCTGATATATTCTGCTTCCTGACCTCAGGCCATACCGTGACAATGGTTGGGACTTGCCCATAAACCCTGCTTTTGGAGGTCTTTCCTGAAGTTCTGCTGCCCCGTTCCCGGTGCCTCTGTTGCTCTCATCTCTGGCTGCCCACGTCCCAGCTGCAGACCCTGACACCCCTCCACTATATAGTGGCACCCAAAACCATCGGGGCTTCATGCTGCTTCACCACCACCTTCCAACCACCTGTAGACAAGAGCAGTCTACCAGACCTAGAGTTACCAGCGCCGTGCAAATTGAGCCTAAATGTGACTGTGTGCTTCAGACATCTCCAAACTGGGGCCCTCCAGAAATGCTTTTCCACAGGTCCCACCGTCAGCCACAGTCCAACGCAATGCCTGGCCCGCAAGCCAGTGGCTCCCTTCAGCTCCTGACCCCGCAATCCATTAGCCATCATGCCCAGCCACTTTCTCCTATTGCCATGGAAACCAGTTACTTCGGGTGACGTGTCCAAGCCCAGCTGTCCTTCAGTCAACCCACAGTTGACGAAAACCTGCACAATCCTTTCCTGCCCATCTTCAGCAGCCACTCCCACACTATGGGAAAAGTTGACCGCCGTGACCACGGGCTTTACCAACCCATTCCTGTCCCTCAGTTTGTTGCTGGAGGAACCAGATTATCGCTCCTTGAATTACCCCGGTGATCCATTCACTGCTCTCCTTAGCAACTGATTGCCCATGGTAACCAAATGACCCAGCTCGGTTGTCCTGGACAACCAAAGCCTTGCCCTAGAATAACATTGCTCGGTGCCTTTCCCCATTCCAGAAAGGGAGTTAACTCTGATACCCGGATTCTTAGTCCCCCGCAACTGCTTAACCAAATTCACCCCCAGCAATGACATGCTCCCAGCAAAGAGCCCCCAGTCAACCTCCTTCTGGTCAGCAAAATCGGAATGACAAAAGGATAAGTTCTTAGGGTCGCCTCGGTAACAATTTCCCTCTCCAGCAGCCATGATTGCTGCTGCTTCCTCAGGACCAGTCCCGGGCAGGGCCAACCCCTTCCCAAGCAACTGGTTGCCACTGGCCACGTTGCCCACTTTTCCATCCTTTTATTCGACCCCCCACTGCCAACCCACAATCCGCATGGAGCGGGGGTCGATTCGAGCGGGAGGGGGCAGCGGCAGCATGGAGGGCGTGCGGGGCGGCCCCGGCGAGGCCGGCGTCCCCTGAGGGGCCAGGATCTGCCCCGCGTCCCCGTCCCCGGCGCTCGGCAGGCGGGCGAAGGCCGTCCAGATGCCGCGCGGGCGTGGCTTGTCCCCGGGGGCCGGGGCGGGATCGCCATGCACCCGCTGGTGGCGAATGAGGGTGGACGATCGGCCGAAGCTCTTGCCGCAGCGGGCGCAGCGGTAGGGCCGGGCGCCCGTGTGGGCCCGCTGGTGCACGGTGAGGTAGGAGCTGTCACCGTAGCGCTTGCCGCAGACGTTGCACTTGAACGGCTTCTCGCCCGAGTGGATGATCTGGTGGCGGATGAGGTGGGAGCTCTCGGAGAAGGACTTGTTGCACTGGGTGCAGCGGTAGAGCTTGACGCCCGTGTGCGTGCGCTCGTGGCGCATCAGGTCCGACCGCTGCGAGAAGCTCTTGGTGCAAGAGCGGCACCCGAACGGCCTCTCCCCCGTGTGGACCCGCTGGTGCCGGATGAGGTGCGAGCTCAAGGTGAACCGCTTCCCGCAATCGGGGCAGTCAAAGAAACGGGGGGGAGCGGCCCCCAGGCGGCGGTAGCCCAGGCGGCCGTGGCGGCTGCCCCAGGGCCGCTTCCCGCGGGCAGGCTTCTCCCCCTTAGCCTTGGCGCTGGCGCCCCCAGCACCCTGCAAGGCGCCACAGGCTTCCTCCCAGCCCAGGACCGGTGCGGCAGCCCGGAGGGGCCTCTCGGGGTTGGGGTCGCCGGCAGCCGCTGGGCCTTCCTCATCATCTTCTTCATCCCATTCTTCGTTCTCGCTGGATGTCCCATCATCTGGTAAGAGGCAGAGATGAGAAAAGGAGAGAAAGTAAGTGTCATTTATTTCAGGTAATTTACACACCACTTTACATCATTAAGGAAAAGATCCCAGAGCAGTTTACAAGGCAACATCATGACAACATATAATAAACCCAATCCTTAAAATAATGATAAAAAGAATAATGCATCACTTTCCACTGCAAGGTGCAGTCCGGTGGAGTGGTTAGAGTGGTGACCTGGAGCCCAGGAGACCTAAGTTCGATTCCCCACTTAGCCATGAAGTTTGCAGGGTGAATGGGCCAGTCACTGACACTAAACCTGATCCACTTCACAAGGTTGTTGTAAGGATAAAACAGAGAGGAGAGGATTATGTAAACCATCCTTGGGAAAAAGCTGGGGTATTGATTAATTCACAGTATACACTCCTATGCCCAACAAGACCGAGTCTAGGAGGGGTTGGAGTCCAGTCTTGACTCTGCCTTCCTTCCATTCTTACAGCCAGTGCAGCTCTGCCTGGCCAGCCGCAACTCCACAGTCAGAAGACCAACCTCGGAAGTGGAGGATTGTGGGAGTTCCAGGGAGTGGGGCAGGTACAGAGGTACAGTTCTATCCCAACATGATGTATCCAAGCGGCGCCTCCCCTATCCTCCCCATGCACCAGAGGGAAAGACTTTATCAGCCAGAACTGGCTACCTGAGTCTTCCGCAGGCGAGGAGAAACATGGGGACGACTTTCACCTCTGCAGTCTCTGCCCTCCATGGGATCTTTACAATCCCCCATGCTCAGTGGGTTCTGGGAAGCCATATCAAATAGCACTTAAAAGCAGCTTATGCAACCTGCAATTAATCTATACAAATCTGTAATTAATGTAATCGGGGGGAGGGGGAACCACAATATAAACCAATATCAGCAAAGTAATACACATAAAAACAAGCTCCATAAAAACATAATTGAAAATCACATTATTTCATGATGTTGGAACTTATTTACTCCCTTAACATCCATTTTACATTGCCGCTGACAAAATACAATGCAGATAGAAAAAATATGAAATGCATTCCAAACAAAAGCAAAGAAAGCACCAGTCCTTATTTAACTCCATGTACTGTCAAATGTCTGGCAACTTTTCCCCAGCAGTGCTGGACTGTAACTTCCATCATCCTCTGCCCACCTAGCCGAGGGTCGGCGATAATGAGAGCTGTAGTCCAACAGCCTGCTGCTCTGAGGGGTTTCCTTCTCCAGCCCAGACCACCACCAACTCACCAATCAGCTTCACAGTGTGCTAAATACTGAATTTTTAGCACTTGAGAGTGTTATGCAGTAGTTTGCTGAATTTTGGTAGCAAAATGCCTTTCAGAAATGATCCTCCCCCCAGCGCAGCGCACGTCCAAGTGGACTGGAGAAAGAAAAGGCCCAGAATCTCACAGGGAAGTGCTTCCCCCAGGCACTTCACTGGCCTCTGGCTCGCCTTCTTCACTTCGAGAAGGTTTTGCTACTTTCTCACCCGTATGAGCATCTCTTGTGCTTTCCCTTTCTTCTGGTCCTTGGTCTGCACCCTGGTTCGGCACTCGCAGTTCTTTCCTTTGCTCCATCCAGGAGATCATGCTGGACTTAACTATGGGGAATCCTGCCCAGGAGAGGGGAAAACGATCAGGAAGTACATAAGCTCTCACTCCCCACATAGCTGCAACTGCCCAATTATCTCAGACCAGGTACAAAAACACATAGACCATTAGGCCAACTCGAGAGGGCAGCTCTTTCTGAAAATCATGGTTCCAGCCTATTTTTATTCGCACGTTTTCTACTCGCAGGCTTTTGTGGCACTGATGTTTGTAGAAACAAGAAAACCATCTGGGAGCTGGGGGTGCGTGGATTTTGCTTTTCCATCTCAGCCAACTCTTCTTGTTCATGTATCTTTTCTCCCCTTTCCTTAGCAACAGATGGCCCTGCTTGGACATAACTGAATGTATGGAGCTCGCTTGCAAGTTTGGAGAAGGCTGCACTGCATGACATCCTGCCGAGCTACTCTGATTTCATGGTTTTGACTGGGTAACCTCCCTGATGGACTGTGGGAAAGCTGTGCACGTAATCCAAACTGACTTCAGCAAAGCTATGACAAGGTGCCCCGTGATCTCCAGATTAGCAAACTAGCTAGCTAAAAGTGGGCTAGATGGAACAACTATCAGGTGGATCCACAGCTGGCTGAAAGAGTGCTCATCGACGGCACCTTCTCAAACTGGGGGGAGATAACAGGGGGTACTGCAGGGTTCAGTCCTGAGCCCAGTGTTCTTCAACATTCCCATCAATGCCTTGGATGAGGCAGTGCAGGGAACAATGATCAAAATCTGCAGATGACACAAAACTGGGTGGGACAGCTAACACCCTGCAAGACAGAAAGAAGATTCAAGGCAATCTTTATAGGCTGGAGCACCGGGCTGAAAGCAACAGATTCCAATTCTGCAGGGACACAGTTTCCCTCATCCTCAGTCAGGATGGCCATTGCCTTCCCACGGAAGACTGCCATATAGGATCAGGAGTTCAAACGGGATATTCTGCTCCACCACTGCCACCTGGCCAGGTTTCCACATTGATTTCCCAACAGACACTCAACCCAACATGGCTACTTAATCTTCCTTGGGCTGATGTGGAGTGGGGTTGCCCCTATGGTTTTTAAGAGGCTCTGGGGAAGAGGGTACCTCTGCAAACTTGGGGTTCAGTCCAAACATGCCAACACCGCCCTCTTCTTCAGTGACCCCATTTTGTCACCATTCCCACAACTAGAGGGAACGCTGCTGAGCAACACTGTTGTCAAGAATATTGGCTTGGCTCCAGACTCAGACTTCAAGAAGAGCCAGTGAAATAAATGGGGCAAAATAACTACAAGCAATTTGCACCCCGTTGATTTCAATGGGCATCCTTCAGATATAACTAGATCTGGAATCAACTTAGTAAAATAATATACATATGACATGCTATAAATATTAGCATATATAAACAGGAGAATTATTAATATTTAGAGATTCTTTGTCATAAAAGGTTGATCTACACATACAGCAGAATGAAATGGTAGAATCTGGTTATGGCAGAGTGGACTGTACCAACTGCAGGGGTAGGATGTGCTATTTAACTGTTTTTCATGTACATGCAAAATGCAGCAAGAAACAAAAATGAAAACAAATTAAAAAACCAGGGGGTAACATATTATAAGCAGGCACGTTAAGGCACACAAACTATGTTCCAGTCTTTCCAAGGGGCCTGAATGTTCCTTTTGTTTGTTGGTTTCTTTCACAAGGAAGCATCCAAAAACACCATTCTCTCTGCCCACCCCCTTGTAACTGGAAGTGGTACGTCCACTTCACTGCTGCAGGACTCTACCGCCTCATTCCGCGCATGTAGAGAACATGCCAACCTGCACTTTCTTTCAACTGCCTGGAAGAAAAAAACATGCTTGATACTTCCCATAAACTGCTCTCATTTCTCTGGTCCTTGCCACAGAAATCAGAATATTTATCGACAGAAAAAGACACCATAGCAGGCTGCTGCCTTTGTGGCAGCAGCTATTCAGTTGTGGTGGTTAGAGCACATCCTTCCTAAGCCATGAAGTTCACAGGCTGGTTTTGGACCAGGCACTGATTCTCAGTGTAGCCTACCTCACACGGTGGTTGTAGGGATAAAATGCAGAAGAGAATCATGAATACTGCCTTACGAGGGAGAAAAAGACAGGAGATACATTTAATATGAAATCGTTCCCATCCGTAGCCCTATCATCAGACTGAGATTAGGCACTCGCTTATGTGCAGCTCCCATTTCAATACACCCAGTGTGTGCCCAGCCAAGTTTTGGCTCCTTACCCAACGAGAGGACGTCCCCGTAACTCTCAGTTACAGCGTCCCTGTAGAGCTCTTTCTGTCGTTCACCCAGGACAGCCCACTCTTCCATGGTAGGTCCATCCACCCCGTAGCGACATGGGATCTAAGGAAACATGCAAAGCCTAGCGGCAGACCCCACATTTTGCATTCAGAAGGCACCGCATTCAATCCCTGGCTCCAACCCTTTGGAAACGAATCAGGCAGCAAGCGAGGGAAAGGCTCCCAAGACTCCAGGGGGACATTGTCTAAACGGACCGATACTGACATGGTACAAGGTAGGTGTGTGCTGGTAGATGTTCTTACTGCCCCCTTAACGTTCCGAGAATTCCAAACCTACATCACCATGTCGCACAAAACAACAGTAATTTGAAAAGTCCAAAGCAAGTCAATTATAAATAACGTCAACATTGGCCTGCTGGTTCTAATGGGATTTGGGGCAAAATTTCACTGTTCTTTCTATATTTTGAACCCACATTTTCACTTAATAAAGGAACATTTGTATCCTGGTCTTTCTCCCCTGGAAGTAATGCATGTGGATTCTCCCCTCCCTGCCATTCTGTCCTCACCACAACCCTGTCAGGCAGAATGATAGAATGGGCAAGGTCAGTGAACGCAGAGATTTCAAACCCAGCCTCCAAACCTGGTCCAAAGCCAAAACCATGTGTTGGGTGGCTACTCCCATAAGTCCAAGCCAAGAGTACTAAGTTGCAGGAGGCTGCTACAGACTAATGTTGTGTACGGTTGGGTGTTGATCAAGCATAACCAGGGCAAATGGAGTGAGCCACTTGAGACATACTAGAGGTTTTGACCTACAACTCCCAAGATCCCTCACCACAAGCTACGCTGACTAGAGTTGATGGGGGTTGTAGGCCAAAGCATCCAAATGGCCACAAGTTGCCCTTGGTAAATTCTGCTAGGAATTTCAATTGCCAAACATTTGTGCGGTGGTGGTGGGAGAAACACGTGATCCTAGGGCACAAAACCAAGGTGAGGAGAGCAAGACTCAAGCAGAGCTGGGAGCAGCACTATGAGGCCACCCTGCGCCAAATCGAGCTGGTCATTTTCATACAAAATCGGGCATACTTTATGCCAATGTGGTGTAGAAGTTAAGAGCACAGGTCTGGGACTCCGGTGACCTGGGTTCTTGTCCCCACGTAGCCATGAAGCCAACTGGGTGACTTTGGGCCAGTCAGACTCTCAGCCAACCTACCTTGCAGGGCTGCTGTTGTGGGGATTGAGAGCAGGAGGAGAAGCATGATGTTAGCCATTTGGAGTTCTTTGAAAAAAGAAAAACTCTCGAGGTCCATTCTGTATTTTACAAGACCTCTGAGATCCACCCAAAATAGCTAAAGAGTAGCTGGAACAGGTAGAAAAGGACAAGTAAAGAAGACATGCTAGGTCCCAAATTAGTCTTTAGAACCAGAAATGAGTTCACAAATCTTTTTTTTTTCCAGACCAAAAAAACCACCCCTGGATTTTTCTCTTGGTTTTCTTCATTTTAACAGTCTCAGGCTTGCATCCAGACATAGTCCTACTTAAAGCGGAGCCATCAAAATGAAGGGGGCGTAAGTTACATTGGGCGGAGTTGTTTTTAAAGGACTGAGACTCAGAAATCCTCAGCAGTCTCCTGAAAATCACCCAAGGATTAAACAAAAGGCCCTGAACTCAATTCTGCCTGGGGCTCTCCTCCAACCAGTAGTGGCTTCTCCAGGACTGCTGAGAAAAAAGACCCTTCCCCGTCCCGCTACTCAGAATCTGCCTCACTGGAGATGCCAGGGGCCAATCTTTACCTTCTCTGTGTAAAGTGTACGCAAAGGCCCAGCTGCTCTCACTAAGGCCATGGAAGTGACTCTTGCCTTGGTTCAGCCCACAGTGGGCTGGTGTTTGCCTCCAAGCAGCCTCCATCCCTAACTGAAGATGGGTTCTCTCCAACAGTTTTGTAGCTGGGAGACTGAGCAGGACAGAGTAAGTAATATCGATCACTCGCAGCAGGTCTAGTGAGGACATGGCCTGAGAAAAGCCTGGCAGTCTGGACTGAGAGGCCCAGAAGCTTGCATTTGGTCCTCAGACCAACAGTTCCCCACCCTTGCCTTAAACGAAAAGTGAAGGCAGCATTCATGAAAAACAGGCACAGGGCAGGCACACAAGAGTGCCCAAGGTCAAATCCTTGTATTCTAGAAGATCACAATCCTATTCCAGTTTAGCTGAGAATGGGTCTCTGTAAATTCACTGGGGGTTACTTCTGAATAGACCTATGAGGCACGGCACTGCAATTTGTTAAGAAGCACCATCATCCTGTTCCATACTGTTAATAATTGGCTTAGAAGTCCAGTTGTTCTCGTGAAGAAAAATTAAGCACCAACTGTTAGTCCCACACTGTGAGCAGCGGCTTTAGGAAGTCACTAATCTGAAGCTGTCAGTACAACCACTGTACTAGAAAGAGAAGGATCAAAGAAGAAAACAAAGTAAAACAAGAAAGTCTCTTTTGACAGGCCAGAAAGAGAAGTTTGGGGCAGGAGGAAAAGTAGGAAGAAGGATGTTATGGGAGTGCTGTAGCAGTCAAAGCAAGCTTCCCCAGCCTGGTGCCCTCAGATGTCCTGGCTGAGCAGTATTGCTGGAAGGTGGAGCCCAACCAAGCTGGTGAGCTCCAGTCTGGAGAAGGCTAGATTAGAGCAGCAGACTACAAAGAAACCTGGGTTCAAACCCTTGCTCAAGTTTGAAATTCACTGACTGAGCTTGGACCACTCTCTGCTCAAATTTACATAATTACAGAGGAAGAAAAAAAGTCTGACAGTGGTTGTGAAGGTAAGTAGACAAATCACAATGCACAATTTCCAGGGGGGCAGGAAAAAGAAGCCACTGTGGGCTTCTTCCCCACCACCGCCTAACCACTGTCTTTCAGCCTGACCTCCCTCACAGGATTATTGTGAGGACAAAATACGTTTGCAGGGAGGAGCCATGTATGCCACCTTGAACTTCTGGGGGAGAGGATAACAATAACGGCAGCAACACATTGCAGAGGGGAGTCAAACGCACAACGGGGAAGGACAGCCCCCTCCCCCTCTTCATGGAAACGAGAGCCACGGAAAGGCACCGACGGGACAGCCCGCGCCATCAGGAAGATGTGGGGGGCGAGGGAAGAGGCAGAGAGGAGGGGGCTCGCTTCGCCCCTTCCCTCACGGGCACCCGCCACGGCAGCCGCAGCCTGCAGGGTCCAACGAGCCCGGCCGCTCGGGGGACAGCTGGCTGCGGCAGCCCGAGGCCCCTGCTGAAGCCGAGTGGGCGCGCCGCGGCCGGGGGAGCCGACCCAGGACCCCGGCTCCGTCCACGGGCCCCGGCGCCTCCCCGTGCCTGGACCGAGCGGTTGCAGGCGTACCTGTGCACGGGGGCGGGCGCGGCGGGGAGGCAGCGAGGCGCCCGCTCGCCCACCGCCTTCTTCCGAGGCGCGGGGAGCCCAGTTCTCCGGATGCCCCCAGCCCCTCTTCTTCTGGGGGAGGGAAAGGGGCTGCGCTCTCGCGGGCCCGGCCCCTTTCTCCACCCCCCGCTGGCAGAGGCAGGTACACACCCCGGACAGCTTCGGGCAGCGCAGCCAGCCGGAAGTTCCGTCCCCATTCCGCGTCCCCCGCTCCGGCTTTCTCGCCCCCTCGCTCACTCGCTGCCTTTCTAGGATATGGAGGACTGCACCGCTCTATCACTTTAACTCCCTCCTGCTGCAACTCGAGGCTTTGCTTAGCTGCATGTGCTTCTCTACCTCCAGCTCTTATTTTATGCTAAGATCCCCCAAAATCTGTCACCCGCTGTGGGCTGCGTTGGCGACTCCGCAGCTTTTTATTTTTTTTAATCGATAATTCAAATTCTGCATGCAAGGGTGGCTACTCCTTGTGGTGGAGGGTTTCTTGGTTACTTCGTCGTTGCAGCATCGATGGGCAGAGTGCTTTACGGAGTCGTGAGAAGGCAGCAAGTCCCTGCCCCGATGCGCTTACAGCACTTTTGGTGTCCGCATGATGCAGGCATTGTTGGCCTCGCCTGAAATGCCACTGCATGGATCCAAAGTAAGGGGGCAATCGTCTGCCTGTTGAGATAGCGAAAAAGTCCTACAACTCCCTGCATCCCCCAGCCAGCAGGTTGTTGAAGTTTTAATTCTGAAACATGCACTGAATTAGTTGCACTTGGTTCCCGCTGAAAATCCAGATTTCAGATTGGATTCACGCATCCCGTGGATTTCTGTGGGAGTGAAAGGCACGTAACAAAGTGACACTCCTTACCTTTGCACATTTGAGGTGTGTGGATGTATATGGCTGCCGATGGATGATTGGATCCTGTCCCCAGTCCCGATGCATTTCTCAAGAATCTAACAACAGGGAAGCTGTTTTTCGGACAGTTTCTGAGGCAAGACTGGATAGATTCCCCAACAAGTATAAATTATATTTCCCTCAATTTTTTTCCTGAAGAACTCAGACAGGATGTAGGTTCTCCATTCCTTTTTATCTTCACAACAGTTCTATCAAGCAGGACACACATAGAGAGTGACTGGCCCAAGATCACCCATAGGGATTTGAACCTGGGTCTCCCTGGGGCTGGGTCATTGGTCCTGCCCAACCTTCCCCAGTCTGGTGCCTGAAAGATGTTTTGAACTTCAACAGCCCAGAACTCCATCAGCCCAGAAAACATGACCATTATCTGGGAGTTATAGTCCGAAACACCTGGGGGTGGCAGGGTAGACCTCTCCATCCACAGTGCTATCTGCATGCAGATTTTGGGCATCTCTGTCATGAGATACCTCGGTAAGGAGCATCACTGCTGACTCTATACCACTGAAGCAGCGTCCCTCCCTACATTAACAGGGTCTCCTGCCAGGGTGACCTGACCAGGGCAGCAGATAGTGAGCGGCCATGTAAATTTCCCACAGTGCTCCAGGCTGCCCCTGTATCAGTTGCGCTGCTGGAAATTAAGATAGTCAGCCAGACCCTCTGCTCTGCCTGTTGGTCCCCTTGGTGCAAAGAATGGAAAGTTGATGAGAACAGACAGGAACCACCCCCCCTTTTTTTACAGTCCTGTGCAGAATGGTAGGCTCTTTCCAAAGAGCCGCACCATTTATCGAATGGTCCTCATTTATTTGCATGCACCACCTGGGAGCACTCGAGAGCAGCATGCGCTTCTGTCATTTGTGTCTGATATTTTGAGCATCACTGAGAAATGCAACGTCATTGTGATGAGGCTTTACAAAATTAAGAAGAGACACCTGTTTACCAGGCGCAGGAATGTGTTTCGGAGGTGGGGATTAGCTATATATAACTGAGTTAAATTCCATGTGGTTCAACGCATGTGGGCATAACACACCGTGCTTACGCAGTGTAATGAAAAACCCTCTAACATTTGAGTGACAGTCATTGGAGTCCTAGAATCGGAGTTAGCAGGGATCTCAAAGGTCATCTAGTCCAACCCCTGCCAATGCGGGGAATCCACTGCAGAAGCATTTCTCTTGTGCACTTGTACTTGTTCCTGTTCTTGCAAACAGCCTCATTAGGAAAAGGAGCTGCTTCATTATCCTTGAAGGAGGAGGCAATTGTGAGGATGATTCTGAAGAGACCCTCTTACCCCTTGCCTTCAAGGGCTATAGTAACTATCAGGTAACCACCAAGATTTGGCTCTTCAGCAAGGGCTCTGTGGGCACTTGCTGTGAGTTCCAGGCATTCTTGGATGAAACAGATTATCTGGATCTACTTCAATCTGGTTCCAAACTGGGTTTTGGCACCCAAATCCTTTGACTGCCTGATAGATGACCTCTCTCAGGAGAGTGACCCTGTTAACCGACTGCTTTATCTTTCTCAGTCTGTTTTAAGTGTGAGGTGGGAAACCCATTTGTGTTTTGGCCCCTGAAGGTGATGCTGAGAGACTTCCACTTGACTACAGGTCCCATGGTGCTATGGGTCCTATGGTGTCCTGTCTTTCCCTCTGCACCTTTCAGCATCAACATCAAAGGTAGGCAGCGAGTCACCTTCCAGATTATTCACTGTATGATCCCTCAGCACTGGCCATGTTGGCTAAAGTTTTCTGGGAGTTGTAGCCCAAACCTTTTGGAGGGCCACAAATTGCCCATCCCTGAATCATGGATGAACCTGCTGAAACAAGCCGTTTTGAATTTGTGCAGCTGGCCGTTGACATTTTTGCTGCCTGAGAAGAATGAGAAAACAGCTGAACTGGATCTGACACAAGTGCTGGCAACAGGGCACTGTCTGCCAGTGCAGCTGAGGGCTGGGCAGCAGGCTAGCATGCCAGGGTTGGCTGCTTCCTGCCCCTGAACTCTGCTGCCTCACCCCACCTAATGGTAGGACTTGTCCTAGGAGTTTGGGCATTGGCTGTCATCACTGTGAGACATTCAGTTCTATATCCCCACATAATCGGGATCCTGACCATGAGGAGAAAGGGATGGAGAGGAAACACACACAGTCCATTGAGAGAAGGGCCCAGTGCATCTGTATAGGGCTTATCTCTCCTTTATATTGTGTTGCATTGTGTTTTAAGTGCTGCATTTTTATCTAGGGGCAAGATGCAGTTCAACAAGTGGATGACAAAACAGAAGTTTTAAACCCATTTTAATTGCAGAAATTCTCCAAAAACCTTTCTTTCTCTGTTTAAGAGAACAAAAAAGGATTGTTGCTTTTGGAGGGGACTATGCACAGGCTCAGAAGTACTCCACCTCAGGGCAAACCCCCCCCCACGCGGCTGTGCATCGTGGTTCGCCTTGCAGACCATGCATGCACATGGAAAGTTGCAAATGAACGTGATTGATTTAAATCCCAAGAATGAGCTCAGCCAGCTTTGAGACACAGAACACCGACTCCCACAATGCCGTTCGACTTATCCCCGCCCCCTCCTCGCCAGCCATATTAATTGTAGTCCAAGCATTCTCTTTGCGGCCCTTGAAGCCAATGGGGAAGCGACCCGGCACGGGCCTTGCGTATAGAACTACATTCCCATGATGCTCAGCGGGCGACTCTCATGAACTCCAAACATCCTCTTTTTGAGAGTGAGAACCGGCAGGTCCCGCCGCTGGGTGAGTAAAACTACCTTTCCCATGATGCAGTGGGGCTTCGGCAACCGCCTGCCATCCTAGCTGTAGTCCAAACACCTCTTTAAAGCCATGGCGACCAACGGACCCAAGGCGTTGAGCCGGGGAAAGAGAACTACAATTCCCACATCACGCTGCGCGGCCGCGGCTGCAGCCATTCCTCTTGTAGTCCAAACTTTCCCACGGTGCCCATAGAGCCGGATGTATCAGGGGTGGTGGGAAAAACTACCCCTCCCATCAGGACGCGAGAGGAGAGTGTTCCCTTTGGGGCTTCCTGGGGCCGCCATGATGGTTTTGTGTGTATGTGTATATCGATGTGAGTGAGGTGTGTGTATCAGTATGTGTAAGTGAGCGAGCGAGTGAATGTGAGAGGGAAGGAGGAAGAGGGGAGAATGAGACAGACCGGAGGAGGGGGCTCCGCCAGCAACGTGGGGCCTAGCTCTCTCCCCCGTGAGGAGCTGTGGAGGGGGTGGAAGCCCACTCCTCGCTTGGCAAATTTGGAGGGGAGTGGGTGGGCTTGAAACCCTCCCCTATGTGGCGGGAGGAACAGCTGGGCAGCGCAGAGCCCCCTTGAGGAAAGGAGTGGAAGGGGGCACCAGCCCCCCTGGATTGTAGGAGAGGGGGGCTAGCCGGGGCGAAGACTTGGAGACCCCACCCCGGCGACGAAGCGAGGGTTTAGCAAGGTTAACATTGCTTTGGCCGGGAGGGAAGGTGGAGAGCTTGCTGAGGAAGGGGCTGGGCCTTCTTCACTTGGGGGAGGAAGAGTTAAGTCCAGAGATGTGCCTCTAATTTACAGGGAAGGCTAATAAAATATTATTCAGGGGACAAGGTTCACCTCGCCCCTTTTGATTCCTCCCCCCCCGCGCCCCACGCACACACTTCTGTTCCAAAGTGACTGGTGGTGGAGTTGGAGTAACAAGCAAAGAAGGGGAAAAGCGTCCCCTCTCCGCCTCCATCTCCAGCGAGCCCAAAGAGTTGGGGAGTGGGCTTAGAGAGGGGAGTGGTCTGCCTGCATTTGAAAAGGGGAGGGTGGGTGTTCGGGCAACTGAGGAAAATCTCAGTGGTGGGCAGCAGTGGGGGAGGAGTCAGGAGGAGGCAAGGACTGGGGGGGGGCTGGAGGTTGCACCGCGCGTAGGCAATGCCAAGACTCCTTCCAAAATTAGGGGTCCCTGAGTAGGTACAGCAGACTCCTTATTAAAATTTATTTAATGTACTGTGGACAGGGGGTGGGTGGGACCCCTCCTCACACATCATCCCCTTGTTTTCTTCCAAGGGCAAGGAAGGAAAGAGTGGAGGGTAGAACAGGAGAGGGGGTGAGGTGTGGAGGAACCGCTGCTATGAATCTGTAATAGCCTCTTTGGGGAGATCGTCCCGCCCCTCATCCTCTTCTCCTCCCCCCTCATTTTTGTGGGGGGGACTGAGAGAGACGCACGCATACACAAATCCTTCAGCAACTGGCTGGATCTCTTCTCCCACCCACCCCCACTCCCCACCATGACAACAAATCCAGCATTAGAATCGCCATCCACCCCATGGCCACACAGCAGGTGAGTAACCCATCTCTCCTTCCTCCAAACCCTTCATGGATTTTAAGGGGGGGTGCCCCCCAGTTCCAATCTCCTCCCATTCTCAGGCACCTTTTGCTGGTGCCCGCCTGTGAGATGTGTGTGTGTGTGTGTGCAGTGATTGTAAGACATATAGCATCTTTTCTTTTTTTGGAGGCTGCTGATGGATGAGGAAGAATCTTTGGTACCTGGATGCGCTCCCCAAAGGTAAGTCTGCCTCCTACCCCACCCCTCTTTCTCTTGGCTTTGCAAAATCATGTTTTTCGAGGAATGAAACCCTTGTCTCCTTTTCCAGAAGCAAACTCTTTCTCCCTTCCCCCACCTCCAGCCTTCCCATTCAAAAATAATTCGCTCTTCTCCTCCAGCCCCTCATGCCCTGTGGTTTGAGAAGGGCCATCATCACTTTGAAAACAACCCTCACCCCCCAAAAATAGGTGGATGGAGTTAGGGATCGTGTGAACGCACACAGCATGTGAAAACATCACAACAACTCAGATGCGGAGAAGCGGGAGGGCTGTCCGTTCACACGGATTGCACTAACGTATCTGTTGGGGGTGGGATCTGAGAGCTTCTGCTGCCCCCCGCCTCTCCCCACAATGAAAGGTATACCATTGTGTTTTCTTCGCTTTTCCCTTTCCTTTCTATTTCCTTTGTTGTTTTGTTTTCTTGGGTATTCTTTTCTTTCCACCTTATGTCCTGTCACCTTGGGCTGGTGTGCAGGGTTTCTCTGTTGTTATTCCTGAAAGGAAAACAGGCAGACAAATATCAGCATGTATCATTTTGCCAGGTGGATTTTAGGGGTGAGGGGGTCCTCTCTGATGGACTGAAGCTGATGGGCAGGGAGAGTGGGGGAGAGAGACAGTGGCTTTGGTGTGTGTTGTGGGGGCAAGTGTGGAACCAAAGTTTCTCCTCTACGATTTCCAGGGGAAGGAATTAGTGGCTGTAAAACGGTCTTGCCTCTGTGTGTTTCTCATGTTTTAACCCCAGGGTGGGGGGGTGGGGACGAAGGGAAGAGAGGGGAGGGGCCGTGTCAGCCGATTTCAGGGGGCCCTGGATACAGGATGGCTCCGGTTCTGTTCCTCAAGGAGCGGTGGGATCCAAAGGGATCTGCTGGCGGTGGCTCACCCCCAGAAGCTGCCTGGACTTAAAGGCTTTTAAAGGGGTGGGAGAGCAAAAGAGATGTGTCAAGCAGGTTGCCGTTGGCGGAGGGAATTGAGGGGGGATCCAGCAACCGGCATCATGGAAGGCCAGGCTGCCGAGTGTGGGATTCGTCTCCAGGACCGGGCCTGTCCACTTTGAAGCTGTGCTGGGGCGTGATGAGGTATTGGTGCCAAGTTACTATAGCTATGGTTGTCTTGCCTGATGGCATTCTGTCTGATCTTGCATGCTTGGGAAAAGGCGGGGGGGTGGGGGCTTAGCAGAAGGTGACAAAACATTTAATCTGTGCTGTTCCTGTATGTGTTGGGTGGGGCCCCAATTTTGTGTGTTTGCAGCGGAGGCAGGTTATACAGCAAGATCAAGTTAGATATTTGCCTTCACCGGTGTCCTCAGAATCCAAGGCACACATGCCTTCCTCCATCCTCCTTTCCCATCGCTCTGCCCTGGCTCAGCCCCTTAAAGTACCCCACATCAGATTTTTTTTTTAAAGAGGTAGTTATAGGCATTCCTGAGTCCTTTCCCTGCCCCACATTCTTAGGGAACTGGAACTGTTTTCTTAGCCCTGCTATGAACTGTAAGCTCATTGTAGACAGGGACCATTCTCTTCTAGATGAAGGGTCCCCACTTTAAGAACATGCCTATGTAGTGCTGCTGCTTTCTTTGCTCTTCTTTCCCCCTTGGCAGTTTTATTTAACATGTAAAGTGCTCCCCCAGCTGCCATGAACCACTCCCACCCATATGGGTATTTCCATCAGTCCCTTCGAGCCCTTGCATCTCCCTCCCTTTTGAAAGACGGGGCCAAATCTAATGTTACCCACCCAGAACAACAGCTGTGCTGCTGCTCTCTGCCTGCTCCCCACCTTATTCCATAAAGTCTGGAAGAAATAACCTGTGTCCCGACATCACAGCATTTCCCTGCCCCCTCTTCTACATCACTGGCTGCCCCTTGGCAGGATGTGGTGACCACATGACGCAAGGTAAGTTCTGCTGGACATTATGTAATGGAGAGATGGTTCTGTAGCTGCGTTCTTTTGGCACACGTGTAGGGTGAGATCTAGTTTGACAGAATTCGGTACTGATGGTGGAGGAGACAACAGGGGATCTTCAGGTGCAGTCCTGCGCATGGTTAGACAGCAAAAAGTCCCACAATGCCTAGCATTCAGTAGCATGCTCAGCTGGAGCATGCTGGGAATTGTAGGATTTTTTTTTCTGTCTAAAGCATAGGATTGCACTCTTAGTTTGGTTCTTAGATTGCAATCACCTTGGAGCAGGAACCTGTTGCCTTCGGGTTGTGTTACTGTGTTGTGTATCTGTTGTCGCAGCTGCTTAAGTTAATAAGAGTGTCCTGTGTGGCATTTGGTGTTGATCCTGATAGAGCACTTACAGCCTTTTCCCTCTTGGCTCTACCTTTCACTTTCTCACATTAAATCCCTCTGAGTCGCCTCGGGCAGCATCTTCCTCTTCTACTGTCTGCACCTCATTCAATGCCTCCGTGCTTCAGAAAAGCCCCTTTGAGAATGTTCCTGTATTATCCTTCTCTATTTCCTAAATAAGCGGACTCCATGGTGTTTTCTCAAGTGCACCGTCTTTCTCTTTGGTCACTGTGATTATGTTCCTTCCCCATCTTCCAACTTCCCCAAACTCTGCTTGTGGTCTCTCTCACTTTCCCCTATCAACAGTCAACTCCTTGTGCCTTACAGTTGTATTTCCTACTCATGAAGATGGAACTCCAGAGCTGCTCTCCCTGCCAGTCATTCTGGAACATGTGTCTGTTTCATACCCATTTTGTACCCTCTTCACTTCTAAGTCATCAGCTTGGCAGGCAACCTTAGAAAGGGCTGTAAAACTCCAAAAACAAGAAGAAAATACATATTGGTACCTAGGAGTTTAACTCAGTTTTAATTTAGTGCATGTCTGGTGTTGTCTTTCTCCCTTCCTTTTAAAATCTGATGTTGAATTCTAAAGCCTTGCTGGCAGTTTTTCCTAGGACGGATCTGCTTATCTGCATCTCAACCAGCCTCCCACAACCTGGTGGCCTTCAGAGGCATTTGGACTGCAACTCCCAGAATTCCCATCCAGCAGGGCCATTGACTGGGAATTCTGGGTGTTGCAGTCCAAACCTCAGGAAGGCTAATCTAGGCCATGCCAGAGAGTACACCATGGCCTTGGCTTCTATTAACAGTTAGTGCAGAGCTGATCTATTTATTTAAAGATGTTTCCTTTAACTAAGATTTCTGTGTCATCCTCCTGTTACTTCCCCTTCTTACTGTGCCTTTAGGACAGTCTGCTTGTTTTCTTATGTCTGCTTCAGTGAAACTCTAGGTTGGGAGAACCTGCATCATATGTTACAGTTAGAGTGTGTTGGAGGCAGGGATGTGTGACAGAGCCTTGCAGGGAAGTCGAGGCAAACTAGAGAAACTTCTCTTAGGATGGGCTCCTTTTTTTGCTCATGTTATTTAGTATATTATCCCTTGTCTTTTTCCTGTGGTGGAACTCAAGGTGCTGCTTTAGACCCAGACCTGCATAGCTCCACCAAGATGGCTGCACCTCGTGCCTTCTGGAGGCTAGGTTACCTGGAACCCCCCAGTCTGTAACTTCCTTCCTGGCTGTTGGTCCTGCTGAGTGAACACGCCCTGCCTCTGGGGCTGGTAAACCAGAGAAAGGATTAAATAATCCAACGCACTGCCTGTTTTTATCAATGCGAGCTGGGATACAAGCAGCCTGGAACAGCAGGCCTGTAGTTTGGTGGAGGAGTCCGTTTTGTTTGCAGAAGGCACTAGCGTCAATCCCCGGTATCCCCAGGCAGGCAAGGAAAATTCCTGCCCAAACCCTGGAGAGCTGCTGCTGCCAGTTCATGCCATCTGCACTGGGCTTAGATGGGCCGGTGTTGTGTCTCCTCTCAACGCAACTGCAGCTTGCTACACGGGATGAAGAGCTGATGCTCAGGAAACACCAGTGCCAGCCCCGCTTCAGGCATGCTGGAGTGTGGCATCTGGACTGGGAATCATTTTGGCACCCGTGTGATTGGACTTTAGGTGGCCTGTCGGTAGCAGTTGATCTAAAACTCTCCAGTGCCAGGGAATGGCATTTTATACACCCACAATGAGTTGACTTTTGTTTTTTGCTTGTATTTGTGCCCTGCATGGTGCAGTTACGTTCAGTGGAAGCGGTCTTGCTCTGTTTGAAATAGTAGTTTTGCATGCTAGCGTGCTTCCTTATTTGTACATGATTTTTAAATGCAGGGGTGTGCAATTAGAGGTATTTTTTCTAAAGTTAATTTCTGTGGCACTGGGGACAAGAAAGAACCAGACTTTTCCTGCTTCAGTCGAGCAGTTTATGCCTAAGGGATGGTCATTTCTGCTTGGACATCTTCTTCCATGCTTCTTCCTGAAGCCCTGTTCCCAATACAGGAGTTTCATGTTCTTCACTGGGGCCATCAGAGCATGTTAGGAGTTCCCAGTCATCTGCCTGAGCATTTTCCTCCTAACAGAAGAAAAACCCTTTGCATGTGCATAGTGGTACCTAGAATGGCCTGTTGTGGGTGAAGTGGGAGGAGGTGATGTGGCTTTTGGCTGAGCTTCTCAGTTGCTCAGGTCAAAGAACCAAGCCCAGCCAGAAAGTTCTTAAAGCGGGCAGGGGTCATGTGACGTGCCCCAGCCTGTCTTGCGTGGGGATGACTCCTGGCTATCGGTTGGCCTTCTCATAGCTCCCTCCTCCATGGGGGTGGCCCATTGATGGACTCTTTCAGGCTCAACCAGCCCCAGGCACTGGCCCCACCATCGCACACACTCCAGCTGGCCGTGGCACCCAGGAGTCAGATCCAGTAGATCACCCAAGCGTCACTTAGCCTCAGCTCGCGCTCTCACTGGAGTTAATTCGGTTTGATCAGTGTGCTAATTTTATCACTTCCCGTCTTTTGTGTAGGAGTGAGCTATTCATTTTAAATCAATGATTGAAAAAACAACAAACTAGCACCATATTCCTTAACAAATGATTCATTCCAGCATCAAGTGTGACTATACATTTTCCTGATCCCCAAGTTTGGTGATTCTTGCAGACATGTGGTCCTCGCTGGCGATCGGATACTCTTGCACTCCTCGCCATCCGCATGCCAGTTCAGGTGCAGCATGCGCTGAAGGGTTTTCTCTCATGCGCAGAGTCTTGGTTGGTTTGCGTTGCCTTTCAGGTCCTTCCCGCGCCCTCGTGGACGGGTATGTTGTTCCGCTCCATCATCCTGCCCCAGCGAGTCCCTGCCAGCGCGCCCATTCTGCCTCATTTTCTTTCTCTCTCTGCAGCCCAGAGAGTAGCTGAAGCGGGACGTAGCCAATGTCGTCCAGCAAAGGGGCGGGGGCTGGAGCTCGCCGGCGGCGGACGCGGTGCCGGAAGTGTAAAGCTTGCCTGCGGTCAGAGTGTGGGGAGTGCCACTTCTGCAAGGACATGAAGAAGTTTGGGGGACCTGGGCGCATGAAGCAGTCGTGCCTCCAGAGGCAGTGCACTGCGGTGAGTGGGCAGGCGGGGGGAGCCGGGGCAGCGTGGTGGACGGGGTGGGTGTGTGACCGACCGTGTGGCTCTTTCATTCCCAGGGTGGCAAACCCAGGTGACAGGGAGGCGGGTTTGTCCTGCTGCAGTGGGAAGTCGCTGTGGCTTCCAGCCGTACATTGGCAGCATCAGCATCCTTTGGCTGGCAAGCACCTTCAGCGTTCAGCTCCTTTTATTTTCACAGGCCCCTTTCTTCTGGCTTTGCCTGTGCCACTCATATAATTCAAGCATGTAGCAGATTTTGTGCTGTACCTGCCTCTGGGCATTTTAATTTCTGGGCGCAGGTGGGATTCCAAATCAAGCCATAGGCAGAAGACCCTGCATGTGGAAAACAAGCATATCTGGGTGAGAGGTTTTTAATTAGTGTGCCAGCTTTCCACATTTGGGATTTCTTTGCTTGCTTAATGTGGGAGCTTGTTCACCTGCACTGCTGCCCTCGACCTGCCCCCTGATGTGCAGCTAGCGCTGTACCACAGACTTTTTCGGAACATTTTGAATCTGTTGAGAGTTTCAGCTAAAGCCAGAAGAAAATCAGAGCACAATGGAAACTGTGAAGAAACTCCCTCCCTTGGAAAACCTCATGTTTCAAGAACTGCTTTAGCCTTAGTGCTCACACATGCTGACTTTCAGCGTGCAGGGATTTATTTCTTTAGCTCACACAGGTGAACATTCAGACATGTTGCCCTCCACTCCTTCACCCTGGAATGGCATAGCCTAGGAAGCAAGTGCCCCGCGACCATTTTATGCAATCTAGATATCCCGCAGGCCTCCCGCACCAGCTGTTCCACACACACTCCACCGATACTGTAGAAGGCTGCAAAGGTCTCCTTATCCCGTTGCTTCTTTTTACATGTTTATAAAATAGCCTGTCTCACCTTTCCAAGTCTTTATGCCCTTGATCGCCCACTCAGGTTAAAGCCCAGAGCAAAATGGTACACGTGGCTCATTTTCAGACTAGGCTACCCCAAAGACAGCTGCAGTCGGGATCCCCATGGCACCTCCTAGCTGGATTTTGGCTTGGGCAGACTCCCCCCCACCGTATCCTTTATCTCTGCCACTCACTTCCTGACCCTGTCTCATTGCAGCCAGTTCTACCTCACACAGCCGTGTGCCTGGTGTGTGGGGAGGCCGGGAAAGAAGACACGGTGGAGGGTGAAGAGGAGAAGTTCAACCTGTCGCTCATGGAGTGTACCATCTGCAATGAGATTGTGCATCCAGGCTGCTTAAAGGTGAAGGGGCAGAAGGAGGGAGAAAGGAAGAGAGGCGAGCTACTGGCCATCGCGGCCTCTTGGACTTAACCTGCTCCTGCCCTTTCTTTCTGTGCAGATGGGGATTGCCGAAGGGGTCATCAACAACGAAATTCCAAACTGCTGGGAATGTCCCAAGTGTAAGAGAGAAGGCAAATCAATGAAAGTACGTAAAAGGGGAACTGCAGGGCGGTGAGCTAGGGGGTGGCTTGAAGACGCCGCCAGTCCAGGTGGATGTGGGCTGAAGGAGCTGCGATGGCCAGGGAGACCATCCGTGCCTGCCGGCAGGGATGGGGACGGAGCAGAGACGTGCCGGAGGGCCAGACGTGTGTTTGCTGGACTGTATAGAATTTCAGTTGTGTGGGTTAGTGCTTTGATTAATTTTTTTCCCACACCCAGGAAAGGTGCCCTATTTCTGTGTTTTTTTCCTCCCCTCGAGGCCCCACAAAACTCTAATGCCAGGGTATTTAATGATGACTGCAGCCCCTTGAGGGTACTTGCTGAAATCCTGCATTCTCCTTGCTCTAGTAAATGGCTCCAACTCAGAGCTGTTGTGCAGGGACAAAACAAAGACCGAAATAGCTGGTGCTGTTTTGCCACTGTTTTCAAGGACAGCCGAGCTGCTTGTTACTCTGGCCAGTGTGCAGTCCTCAGCCTGATGAGCAAGGGGCAGTGAGCACGAGTGGGAAGGGCAGAGTTGCTTAACTCCGTTCATCCATGTCAGCTCTCCTCTGAGAATGGTCACTCTTGTGGCAACCAGTTCTCTTCCCAGCTGATGTTAAGTCTGCATTTGCAAAACTGGTTTTTTTTGGGGGGGGGTTGTTTTGGTTTTCAGGCCTAGGAAAAAATTATGTACAGCAGGACATAAAAAGAAGTTAAGCTGTAGTAACAACCACTCCCAAGCTCCCCCCAACAATTAAACTAAGAGCAGCATAAAAGTAATTGGGCTGTAGTCGACAGCAGAAAGCAATCAAAAGAGACCTCAGCAGATGTGTAATTCAAAGGGTCTTTTACATGGAAGGGAGGGAGCCAACAGCCCTTTCTAGGAAGGAGGCCCCTGGAACCCTGGTGCCCATGCAGAAGAGGCCCTGCCCACATCCCAGCTGATCACGGTCTCAGAAGGCAATGTGATGGGGAAAGGAGCCTCTGATGACGTTGGCCGCTGCTGCTTCCAGAGCCTGGCTGGAGTGGGATTGCTCATAGACCATCTGGGGAGCGGGGCAGCGAAACCTTATTGTCTGGAGAGATTTGGTGGTGGAAAGGGTTCTGTAGCCCCCGCCAGTCCCCTCCTGTAAGTCCTACCAGATGGGCTCTGTGAGGAAGAATACAGGCTTGGGGTCCTGTGTTGTCTCTGTAGTCCCACCCTGGCGCTCCTGAGAAGTCTTCATCTGGCTCATCTGCCATCTGGAAAAATGATGCCCTAAGCATTCTGCACCTGAGCGAAATGCCAAGTTTCATCTCTCACAGTTTTCCAAAGAGAAACTGCAGTGCCTTTTTTGTGGCCGCACCGTGCCCCCGTGCCGGCCGCCCTGTCCCTCCATCCTAGTCGGAGCTCTTGATTTGGCTTTGCAAGGAGGGGATCCAGCAGGACCCTCTTTTGGCCCCCCGTAGTGATTTCCCATGCCTTAAAATCCTCTGCCACGTATTTCTACAGCTGTGAGGGGTAGGTAGCACCCCCCACATGCAAACGTCTGCCCTGCAAGCCGCAGTTGCCTGCTAATTTGTACCTGCCTCCCTCCCCTCCTCGTGCTTGCAGGACTCAGGTGATGGCATGGGGAAGCGGCGCTCGGACAACGGCGAGGACGGGGTCCGGTGGAAGCTGACAGACGAGCCTGCGCAGAACAAGAAGAAACTGGCGCCAGCTCCCCCTCTGCCCCCGCCATCTGCTGAAGAGAGCCAGGTTCAGGCTGGAGCCCACAAGCGCAAGAAGGAGAAGGAGCTGCCGCCTCCAGACACGGGGCCCAAGAAAAAGGTGGGAGCCTCTGGCTTGCTTCCAAAGGTGCCGCTTCCCAGGCGAGATCAGCACCAAGGCCCCAAGGCCGGCCCTCCCTCCTCCCTCGCTCCCTCCTCCCCTCACCCAAGGTCATCTTCAGCTGCACGTGTTTAATCAGACCGAGTTACAGCTGCACTTGTGCTGTAGCTTCTGTATGCTGCTGCTGCTGCTGCTGCTGCTTGTTGTCTCAGGGAGTTTTTGCTGCTCTGACTGGCTTTGTCTTCTGTATTTTATTACTCACATATATGGCAGCCTGCTGCCTTGGGAGAGCAGCTGCCCTGAAAGGCAGCCTAGCATCCCATCAGCCCCAGCCACTGCTGCTAACTGTTGGGGTGATAGGAGTTCTGTCCCAACTACGTGGAGAGCACCAAACGGGGGAAGGCTGCTGTCGCCCTCTGCCTCGTCCCCATCAAAAAGCCCTGCTGGGTGGCGGTAAAGGCCATGTTTGCCCAGGTTCTTTTCTCGCAGGTTGCTCAGCCAAATAGGCCTGGTAAGTGCAGAAGCAAAGCGAGAGAATAACAGCCCCCCTCCTCTCTTCCCCCAAGTGCCTGAGATACTCAGGGATAGGCTGTCACTGATGCCAGAGTCGGAGTTCACCCAAATGTGTCTGATCAACCCTTTGGAGGCAGCAGAGGCCCTCGGGCCTCCTCTTGGCACAGTGAGCTCCTTGACTTAGATGACCTGTTTTCTGTCTGGAACATCCTGCTGACCGCCTTTGTCAGGTGACTCTAAGTTCAAGCGTCACAAGAGGAGGAGGAGAACCTCTCTCGGTGTACTTGATCCACCCTGCGCACCTCCTCTTATCAGCTGCTGCGGCAGACTAAGGCAACCCGGGGCTTTCCGGGTGTTTTGAAGTATGACCTGCATCGTTCTTGAGGGTTAGCCCATTCAGCAGGCAGCTGCAGGCTGAATCATCTAGAATCATCAAAAGCGATGGCGACCCTTTTAGAGACCAAGTGCACAAACTGCAAGCCAAAACCCACTTATTTATCGCAAAGGGCCAACACTGCAATCAAACCTGAAAACTGAGGTTTTAGTTTAGAAAAAACAACTCACAGCCAGTCCAAGCAAATATATATATGCGAAAGCTCGGACAAGTCAGGGCTAATGTGTCGCGACTCATGACATCATCCCCTGGCGCCGCTACTCTTTTCCGAGCATGCCCATTGCCCCTATGCATGTTCTTATCCGATGCTCAGCTGCTGGGGCGACTTGGCTCACGAGTCAGCAGAGACAGCTCTGCGTGCCCGCTGCAGCACGTGTGCCATAGGTTCGCCACCACTGGCCTAATTCTATCCTGGTGCACTCCGCTAGCCCTAATATAGGGGTCAAGTTCCATTGAAAAGAGGGCAATTTTGAAAAAGCAGTCCTTGAGTAGCTTTTTCTGCACAGCTCATCATTTCTGCCCGTTCTGAACACATTCCAACCATCAATAGCATGCCAGGACACCTCGTTTTTGTAACCCTAACCCTGCCCTGGTGCACAGCCCCAACCCTAGTATAGGGGTAAAGCCCAAATGGAGACTTCTCCAGGGTAGGCCATAGTCTGTACTTGAGTATAATTATTCCCTCTCCCCTTGCTATAGCTGACAGTGGAATCTTTGAGCATCAGGTATTTTAACATTCTTCACCTAGCTCATGAGTCCAGCCTTCCCCAGCCAAATGTTTTGGACTTCAGTTGCCATCATTCCCAGCCAGGTGGGAGCTGTAGTTTGAAATCTGGAAGGTCACTAGGTTGAGGAAGCTCAGCAATTGTTAAGCTCAACAATTGCATTCCTAGCTGGTGATTAGGCTAAAAGTTTTGGCTGTCAGAGTTGACCACAAGTATTGGATGGAAGGACAAAGGGGAGGATGAGAGTCCTGTCCGTGGCTTGCTGTGTCTTCCAGAATGTTCTTCTCATAGATACCAGAGCTCCATTTTATTCCTGATAACTTGCTCTAACTAACTTTTCCTCCCACCATTCAAAGTGGAAGGCCCCAATCCTTACTACAAGCTCCCTAGCGTCTCTCCTGGGTCTCTAGGTAATCATACATTGGTCCAGAATCCCAACACCTCGTTTCTTTTTCTTGCAGTTAAAAGGCACACGGGAAAAGCATTTGAAAAAGGTGAGTGCTTTTTCAGTTTTTCTGCCCAGGTGGGTTTTATTGAGCAAGACTAGGGTGAGACAGCAGGGAGATTGTGACAAAGTCTGGAGAGAATCTACCTTGCCAAGCAGGCTGAGCATTTCACAGGCTCCACCTGGCCCACCAAGAGCTTCCTTCCTCCAGAATCCTGAGCCCCTCTCTGGCCTGGTTCACACAAATCAGGGACAGGCCTCTCGCTTTGGAACTGCAGCTCCTCACCCTTACCTGTTCTGGCTGGGGCTGATGGGTGTTGCAATAACACCCAGCTTGACAGAAATGGTAATAGCTGTTTCAGACTCTGCAAGCCAATGAGAAATGTATCCAACTAAAAACACAGAAACAATAAATCCGTAAGCATAAATAAACTGGTGAGATGGACAGGTTGAAAAAAGTGATCACATAATACAAGAAAGGAGAATGAATGTGTGCAATTATGCCATCTGATACCTAAAATACCCACGTGTTTCAACTATAGGTAGTCTTTTGGTCCATTATGTGGAAAGTTTATTACACACTCACTCCTATCCAACATTCTCACATCTATTCACAATATAGAATTCTACAGTATCCCCCATCTGTAAGTACAGAAAGAAATTTATTTTCAAAAACTGCACCAAATATATGAGAGAGATAAACTAACAGCACAGTATCTTTTAAATGTAATTAAAGCTACATGTTTTGGCTTCTAATCTTTAGGAGCACTATTCTGGCCTTATCTGCAGCTGTGATGGCAAGCAAAGCATTTTGCTCTGAACTTATTTTTAAATTGCTGTGTCAAGGCTCAGAGGCTTGTGCATATCTGGTGCCCTGACACCCCCCTGCCTTGTCCCTGATGGCCATCTGGACAAAGCGCCGGGGAAGTGGAGGGAAGGAAGCCTCGGCCTGCTCCCCTTCCCTTCGCCTGGCTTGCCCCGTTCTCGCTTCTCCAGGGCCCGTGTGCATGGTTCTTGCCATGCCAACTGCAGTGGGGTGAGGTGTTGCCCTGGCCTTTGGAGTCTCAGGATCAGTGCCGCAGGGGGCCTGAATAACCCTCTCCCACCTCCAGACAAAGTTGGAAAACCATAACATTATACTTCTAGTCTATCATTCTGACAGATTTTAGCTTCAGACTGACCACATCCAAAATGATCCAGAACCACCTCGCTGCGTTGCTGTGATGCTGCTCCTCTGTATGCTTGATTATATACCATAAAACATGCAGGCAGCTCTTTAAAAAGCCCTCCTCAATTCATGTTAAACTTTCAAACTTTCCCAAACCAAGGACAGACAGGCTGAAATGACTCGGTGCTCGTATGTTTGCTGCCTGTGACTAGGAAACTGTCTCTTGATGCTTCATTTGGGCTTCCTTCTTCACCCCCAGACCACTGAGCAGCCGCCCGATGGGAACAAGCTGCAGTCCATGCAGCCCTGGAGCCGCATGGGCAGCGGAGACTTCGAGGTGAAGGGGACCATCTCCCACCCATCCATCCACCTGAACCAGATCACGGCCAGCGACCTGGAGGTGAGAGGCCAGGCGGGAAGGCGGGCTTCAGTGTCAGCCTCAGCCCTTACCATGGCCATGGGCCCAGTTTGTTCCCTTCTTTAGAAAAGAAGGCGGGTTCTGCTGAAATAGGCTGAAGGTGCCATCCTGTCCTAAGGCCTACGGCTTGCCGCACGCACCGTCCTGACAGGTTCTGTCCAGACTGGCAGAGGATTATGCCCTAAAGTTCATAGAATAGTGGAAAAGGGCAGGACTTCCGAAAGCCATCCAGCCTGACGCCTTGTGGATGCAGAGAAGCCACAGCGACAGCCTCGCTGGGGTGTGGTCCCTCTAGCGTCCTGCTTTTCATGCTGGCCAGCAAACTGGGTCAGAAGGCAAAAGCCTCTCACCTTGTTACTCCCCATCCGTCGGTCCCGAGAGGCAGAAACCCAGAGCTGTTCATAGTCCTTGCCTTCCATGATGAAAGAGGACGGCTGAGCAATCTGGAGCCCCATTCCCGGCATGGGAGGGGCAGCCCCTCTGGCCACAGCGGAATGCAGGCACCTGCCTCAGACCGAGTCCGGCTATTGGTCTAGCTTTGCATTGTCTTCTGCAGCTGGTCTTGCTTCTCCCTCGAGACCTGATCCTTCTTTTTTAAGCTGGGGAGCAAGTGGGGAACCTTCCTTGGGCAAGGAAGGTGGTCGACCCCTAAGACACGTGATTCTATAGGGCAAATAAGAATGTTCGGGACGGCTGGACAAGGTTGCTCTGCCAAGCGTGCTCCTTCATTAATTTGGTTATGCACAGTTAGAAAGAAAAGTTCTATGCACGTGTAGCATGCCTGAAGTTGTAAGCCTTTCCATTCTGTCTGAACGTGCATTGGGTCGCACCCTTCATGTATTCAGTCTCCAGTCCTGCCTTGCCCTCCGACTAAAAATGTGAAGCCTTTTAGGGAAACCCAGAAAAAATCAGAGTTCCAAAATGCTTTCTCTGAAAAAAATGTCCTAGAGATTTTTTTTCCCTAGGCCTTCACATCTTTGGACTCCTTGGTAGCATGTGTTGCTTTTCTGCCGCTGACTAGACTTTGCTTAGTTTTAGCACGGATACCTGTTTGTGTCCCTCCAGTGATCTTCATAGTGCCCAAATGTACCATTCCCCCTCTTATTGGAAAGAAGCAGGTGACTGGGTGTGTGTGTGTGTGTTGTCAGGTGCTCTGTAAAGATTTTTTCTTACATTTTACTATAATTTCCCTTCAACCGCTAGATGGGGCCATAGCCATGAGTCACGGACCATTTGCGGCAATGGTGCGCGAAATTTGTTTCTGTTCACAGCTCCTGGGGACATAAATGGTTTGCAGTCCCAAACACAAGCAGGTGCTTATTTGTTTGTTTTGGGAAAAGTTTGCAAATTCTGAAATTTGCAATCCTGCTTGCAAAAAGTCCACTTGTAAAAATTTTGTGTTTTTTCATGTTTTAGTCAGTGGGATGAAGGAAGTGCCTGCTTTGAAAAATACACCCTAGAAATTGCAGCTCCCCCGTCTGAACAAGCCAAAAAAAAAAAAAAAAATGCTGAAGATGGGAATGAACCAGAACAAGCTTCAGAGAGATTTTTTGAGAATTTAAGCAAGCCCGGAAATGACTGGGTCAAGCATCCCTGCATACCAGTTATGGCAGTGAGGGAAAGATCTTTGCAGCGTGCTTTGTATATATCTGTGTACACAGACCCACCCAACGTCGAGGATGTGCTCTGTACTCTTAAGATGCAAACAATGGTTGCAGGCTTTTTGGTTCTTGTGAGAGCCCCACACTTTCTTGATCATCTGCATTTATTTAATTAAGGCAGTCTTAGGTAACCTGATCGTCTTTGGCCCTACACCCTTCATGGTCTGTGACCATCAGCCATGCTCGCTGGAGCTTGTGGGCATTGTCCAAAAACATTGGCGGGCACCTGCTCACTTAGCACTGATGTATAGCTTCCCTTTCTCAAGGCAGGTGGTGACTTACTGGCCACAAGTACAGCATGCAGGTACTAACCCTTGATGCTCAAACTGTAGAGGGAGCCAGTGCGGCGCAGGGGCTGACTCAGGCGATCTGAGTTCTAGTCCCCACTTGGCCATGGAGCCAGTTGGGCCGGTCACAGACTCCCAGTCCAGCCTACCCCACCAGGTTGTTGTTGTGGGAATAAGATTGAGAGTAGGAGGAGGAAAAGGATGTAAGCTGCTTTTTTCTTTAAAAAAGGGGGGGAAAGGCAAGATATAAATCTAAGAAATAAAATAAATATTGCCCCATCCCTGGTTATGTTTTTTAGAAGACTTCTTTCCAGATGATACCAGATTTTAGACTTGGGTCAATTTCTGAGCAATTTTATGGTGGTTTTTAAGGATAATTTTGTTTTTCGACTGTAGACTCTCCAGCATTTGTTGCAAACAATTACTTAAATAATTCCAAAGCAATTAAGAAAGTGAACGTTTTTACAAAGCTGAGCACAGCAGACAAGCAGCTTGGAGCAGAGTTCGCCGAGGTACCATTCACTCATTGGTCCAAAGAGAGTTATTTTTATCAGACTTTGATAGCAATGGTAAAGTAAAATCTTGACAGTTGGATCTGGAGTGAGGGGAAGTTCCACACCCAGGGCCATGCCACTAAGAAGATCTTTCCCCGTGAATGGTCTATTTCGTTTACACAGGTCAGGCTGTCTGGATCAGATACCTTGCCCAGGAACTTAACAATGAAGCTGGCTCCCCACTGGATAGCCCTCCCCAACCTTTTGCCCTCCATGGTTCCATTTAGATGCCAGGAAGCACTTCCTGATGGTTAGGACCCCGAGGGTGTGGAATGGGCTTCCCCGGGAGGTGGTTGAGGCCCCATCGGTGCGGGTGTTCAAAGATAGGCTGGACATGCACATGGTGGGCATATCGTGAGCGGAGCCGGCTGGTGCCAGGGGTCAGACTGGATGGCCCGGGAGACCCCTTCTGACTCGCTCTGTTTCTTTGTTTTATGTTTCTGTGCTGGCTGTGGGACAGCGAGAGTTGCTGTCCAGTGCAGCTGCGAGGTCCCAGGCTGTGCAGGACCAATACAGGAGCTGGTGTCCTTTGGGTCTCTGGGTCCCCGGCTGCAGAAGCCTCCTTGAGTCAAAGCCAGCACTTTAAAATTGTACCCAGCAACAGAGCAGCAGTCAGCAAAGGCCTTTTGGAAGCTGATCGGTTCCAGCTGTCTAAGATAACGGGCAGCTCAGGATGGCACTTCTCCATAGGCAATTCCAATTGCTTTTGTCTAAACTGGCACCTTCCTGAGGCATGAATAATAGTGGCTAGAGCATATGGACTGGGGATTTCAGGCCTGGCCCCAAATCAGCCCCCCAGGGTCCCAATCCAACTCTCTGAACTTCTCGGAGGACTCCACCCCCAATCAGCTTTCCATTTGCATTTTCTTAAAATGCCTCTCTCAAAGTTTAGTTGTTGTGCAGGAGAGCTCTGAGCTGCCGAAGGCTGCCTGCTTTCACATTGTGGGCCCTTTCCCTTTTGCCTTTGACCCACCCACCATGGAAAGCATCCTTCAAGAGCTGTTCAGAATTTGAACATGACCCTCAGACTGGAAGGGATTCCTTGCCAGAGCGGTTGGAAGACATAAGCAGAAATCAGGCATGTCCTTCTGGTCGAGCACTGACATTCTGCCTTCCTTCCATCATGTGAGGCAGAGCACCATAGCTGGATCTCCCAGAGTGTGCTGCTGCCAAGGGCTGCGTGTCTGTTTCGTGTGATGTCTGGGAGAGGTGGGCAGCAGAGGGGAGGCCAGGGTCGCGGCTTTTATGAGCAACCAGATAACGACAGGATTGCCTGGACTTCTCTGTTTACGGCAAGAGCCTGTTGCCACCACAAGTGCAAACCGGGGTGCAGAGCCCCAGCATCCTGTCTGGCCCTACTGGGCTCCCCACCTGGCCTTCCACACTTTCCCAGACGGCCCTGCCCTTGTCATCTGCTGCTCGTTGTTGGCTGGCTTCCTTTCTTTTGCACGGTTTTCCCCCCATTCTGAAAGGGAAATGCTCCTCATACCGTTCAGCTACCGGCAGTAAAAGCTTTTGAGCTAAAATAGGCAGGTGTTTCTGGCCCCACCCTTTAGGCTTTGGCTCCATCCACTATTAGAATGTGACCCACCCCCCCCACCCCAAAAGCATCTCCTAAATGGAATTCAGTCCTTGGATCAGAACTCCTGGTTGTAAATGCAGCCAATGTAAATGTCCCCACAGAGGAAGGCCGAAGTCGGTCTTTCTTCATCGGATGTTATCTATATGGGTTGGATGACAGGGCCTATCATCCAGCAGGAATACTGGCTGGAGGTGATAGGTTCTGTAGCCCAGCTAAGGAAGGCTAATTTTATCAATTAAAGAATCACTAGGTGGCACAAGAACTTTGACACCAGCTCCTTCCTTTCTCACCAGAAGCCGAAGGTTCCCCAAGGCCCTTTGGAGCCCTCGTCCCAGTCAGACAAGTCCCATCAGCGGGAGAAGCTGGAGCGCTTCAAGCAGATGTGCCAGATGTTGGAGAGGGTGAAGAACAGCAGCAGTTCGAGTTCCAGCTCAGATTCGGACTCAGACACGGACTCCCGGGGCTCGGACGGCTCCAGCGGGGGGGTGTCCAGCCGGGCCGCCTCCCCAGCCACCCGTTCCCAGCGCCTGGCTGCCCTGGGCTTCAGCACCAGCGAGGAGGAGGAGGACGAGGATGAGGACGACGAAGAGGAGGGTGGGCGGCGCAACGGTGGCTCAGAGACAGCGCGGAATGGCAAACAACCGAAAGCTCGGGGGAACTCTCAGGAGAAAGAGAACAATCATCGCCCGTCCAGCCGGGGGACAGAGCGGGCCAAGCAGCAAGTGGGCGGGCGCAAGGCGGGCCGGCCCGCTGGGCAGACAGGGCTGCGCATGGTGGCCCGGACTCAGTTCCTCCACTGGCCGCTGGTGCCCTCCCCGCCCAAGCCCTTGCTGCAGCTGGAGCGGCACGTGGTCCGGCCTCCCCCCGACAGCCCCGAACCCGACTCCCTGCCCTTGGACAGCGGTTCTGACCACATTGTGCAGCGGGACATTTGGTTGGCCGTCTTCCAATACCTCAGCTATCGGGAGCTGTGCGTCTGCATGAGGGTGTGCCGGACGTGGAGCCGCTGGTGAGTGGGCGGAGAGGCGCCTCTGTCCCGGGAGAGTGCAGGCAGCACCCGGAGGAGCGGTGCGGGGCGCTCTCGGGAGCCCCCCGCGTGGGCGGAGAGGTCTTCGAGGCCATGTGTGCCAGGCCTCCTGGCATGAAGCGGGGGCGTGCGTGCGAGCGTGCGTGCGCTTCATACTGCAAGGCCTGCAGAGAGCGGCAGGGAAAAGCAGCCGGTGCGTGCCGGCAGTGGCCGCGCTTGCCAGACGCCTGTCCCAGTGGTGGGTGCTGCGTGCGTGCCTGCGGCGGGGAACCTCGCCCTGCCCAGCTCCTCCCTGCGCACACTCACTGAGATGCGTTCCGCTGGCCCCACGCGGTCCACTGCCACGCGTGGCCTCCCCACCGCAGTCGGGGTCAGGAGGGGAGAGTGCTTTCCCATGTGAGGACGAAGGGTGAGCATTCACACAGCCGCAAAGGACGCGGCGTGTTCACTGGCACTACAGGCCGAGTGCAAGACTGGTGAGGAATGTGTGGCCTTCCAGCTATTGGGCTGTAACTCCTGTCACCCTCATGCATTTCGCCCTCCAGGCTGGGGCTGCTGGTAGTTGCAGTCCGGCAACATCTGGAGGGCCATGCCTTGCCCCCCCTGTGACGTGGGGGCAGGCCATGCCTTGCCCCAGTGAGAGTCACACCTCTTCTCCGCCATCCTGGTTTTGTTCCTGGGTAACCCTAATTGTTCTCTTGCATTTACTCTCTGGTCCTTCCCCTTGGAAGCTCATGGGCAGAACCACTGGGGTTTTTCCCCCCTTCCCTGATCTCCTATCTGCCCAACAGCCCTGGGAAGAAGGGCGGTGACTGACCCAAGTCAGACCGGCTGGGTCTGTGGCTGAGATTTGATTCTGAACCTGGATCTCCCTGGTCTTAAAGATAGTTGCATTTCCCTTTCCTGAGAGGCAGCCCTCCTACACAGTATGTGTCACCTTTGAATGTCAGCAACGAAAGCCGAGCCCACTGTCTCAGTTGTGGCCCTGAGAGGGGCTGGAATGGAACCGTTGATGAGACTTGCTTGCAGCGAAGGCTGTGTGATTTGCCTGGGTCTCTTGGCATGTGGGAATGAGGGCAAAGCGAGGCCTTTTCCTGCTGCACACGTGTGTGTATAGCTCTCAGTGGCCCTCCTATATCTGTGCACACAGACATTGTTATTTCTAAACCTACACATGGGCTTCCTTTAAAGCAAACTTTAAACTGTCTCCCCTATTTTGCTCTTTGCCTTGGGGAAGCCATCCGCGTGTTCCACCAGTCCTAAACTCGCCACACGGAGGCTCCTGAGGCCTCGGTTTTCACCCTGTGCACCAGGAGGCATAGGGTTCCCCTCTGTGTTAGTGTTTTGTCACATACTGCGTCTTCTCTTGCAAATGTAAGGAGTCTGTCGAGTGTTTTGCAAGACGGGGCCCAAAAAGAATAAGATTTGGTAAAATGGAGTGTAAATCTGCTTTTATTTTTTGTTGAAACTGCTGGTGCATTTTGACTTCCTTGGAAAGATTTTGGAAGAACTTTTTGGTGGACCATGCACAGAAAATCCAGGTTGAATCACCAGCCAGATTGGGACTGGTCCACGCCTGAAACTTTGGATTTTTTTTTTTTTAAGGCCGTAAGCCAAACAATTCTGAAAAATAGTCAAAGCTTTTTGCATGACATAAGAAAATCCATGCTGACTCAGACCAAAGGTGGCAGACCAGCTCTCTGCAGGTTCTCTCGAGCAGGATGGTTGGGGGACCTCCTGCCCGGCTCCTCAGCAACAAGTGTACGCTGGCACGCCACCTCTGCTAAAGGAGAAAGTGCATAGCCAGCAAGACACCTTTTTCCCACATGTTGCAAATGTTTAATTTCTTGAATTTTATTTGTTATATTAACATCGCTTTCCTTCTATCTTAAGTATGCCTGTCTCATTCTGTATGGCAGTTAAGACAGCCAAACCGAAGCAGCCCCTCAAAACCCACAAGTGCTTCTCTGTCATTATGACAGGGTCCCTTGCAGCCCTGCAAGACATTTTGGCCTGCGGTTACCATCCTCATCTGGCTTTATTGGCTGGGTGTCGTGGGAGATGCCTGCCAAACCATCTAGAGGGTGCACATCGCCTGCCCCTGCATTAGAAAGTGGTACTTTCTCCATGCCTTTATTCCATGACGTGGGGCTTTTTAGTGGATATCTACATTCACTTAGCCCTAGAAACCCCAGAAGGTCTGCTGTGAAACACCAGTGCTTTGTGGAGGATCCTGCAATGTCTTGAGGATCCATCCACAGGGGGGCCACCGCCACGCCTACTGAACCTCCTTTCCAAAATTACAAGGAGTTGCTGTTACCCAAGATGTGCTGAGATTGTGCCCTTGAGGGCACCTGTGGTTGAGATGCACTTTGAGGCTGTGGTCAAGCTCCTTCTGGGACTTTGCTCTAGCACTCCTGGGGGGAAAACACCCTTTTAGATAGATTTTTAAAAGCTGCTCCAATTTATCATGTAACATATGACTGGAAAATGTTATATGCTGGCCTCTCCCCAACCTGGTGGACTTACAGATGTGTTGGACTGCAGTTCCAGTCATTCCCAGTTGCCATGGTCATACTGATAGATGCAAAGGCTGCTGTGGTCCAACACATTAGCAGGGGACCGTGAAACAAGGCCTTTAAGAAAAGCAAATGGCGAGCCACCCTTTTGGATTCTGGGTTCAGGATGCACATAGAAGGGGTGGATTTTCTAGCAAATCGCTTGCTGTGACATCCATGGCCACTAAGGCCAAAGAAATTTTAGATGCACGCGCCTGTGCACCCAGATTGCAACCCTATGCAAAGATAAGCTAATGTAACTGATCTGATTATTGCTGGAGCAGAGACCGCGCAGTCATAAAGGGCTCCAACTGATTAGTCCCAGGTCCCATTGGCCATGCTGAGAAGAGCTGATGGGAGTCGGAGTCCCTCTGGCAAGCCACAGATTTCCCAGCCTTCTATTAAGGTCTGTTCAAATGATTAGATTAGCTGAGATTTCTTTGAGATTGATTGAAACTGAGATTTCTCAACTCTGGGGAACTTTCTTGCTTCTCGGTTTCTTTCTTTCTTCTAGGCTGCGCCTGACACTGATCCATGATTTCAGTGATGTGAAAACACAGACTTTTCTAATGCTTGATATTTTTATAGGAAATTGTCCGCGCCATCCATGCCTGTGTTTATCTGTAATTGTCTAGGCTGCTGTGCTGCCGTCAATCATTAGATGAACTAAGTGTAGAACGTGAATTTCTAGAAGTAATCCTTCTAAGGCAAGCTTTGGCAGACCCACACTTAGTGCTTAGCTGCCCATCAGGGAAATGAGAAAAAAGAGGTTTGACACCCGCTTCCTGTGCCACATGCAATTGGCTCCAGGCTGGGCCAGGAGAATGGAATTGTACATGGTACATATCCCCTCTTTTGCTAACTTTCCTCAGTAACAAAATGAAGGGAAACTGTTTCAAAGACTTTGATTATGGTTTCTTTTGCTTTTCCCTGAGAAGAACCTCTTGAGTTCAGGAAGTTAGAAACGTAAGAGTAGTCAGTCATGTAGCGCTTGTGGTTACTTTGAGCTAAGCCATACTGCCAAAACACAAGAAGACTAGCACGTGGCATCAGTACAATGAAAACACTGAAGGAAGGAAGGAATTGGTAACTGTAAATAGGTGGGCAGGAATATGTTAACAATTCAACAAGAACGGGAAAGCATTTAACAACATGTAGAAACTGCCTTGAAAAAACACAAGACACTTACAGGAAGCTACTAAGAAGTGGTGGAACTAATTATTTGGAACACTGGGAAATTTTCCAGTTCTACTTTTTCTGGAAAACCAACATTGCTCCATGATTTATTTGACATATCATTTGTTGCCCTATTCAAGGTTTGTCTAATGGATGATCAAACAGACTGTGCGTGTGTGGGGGGGTCTTATTCCCTGTTTCCTCCTTCCTTCCCCCCCACTCTCTCTCTCTCTCTGTGGTGCTATAGTACTAGCAGGTAAAGTAGGGGTGTGTGTGTCTTTTATATCTGCTTCTGTAGCCTGGCAAAACAGCCCATGAACGACTTACGATTCTGCGTTCACACGTTATGACAACCCAGAGTTCACAGCCCAGCAAATGCAAATCTTGGGTTTTCCTGCTGTGTTGTTCATGCTTACAAAATCATGATTCCTTACTGAAGCTGTGTTTGCATATCACAACCACCCATAATTCGACAAGCCGTACCTTGGGTTAGTGTCATTTATGAACCAGAGCAATGAATGCAAGCTTTATTGAATGAGTCACTGATTTGTTTTAATCAGAACAATCTGTTTATCCCTACTTAGGATCTACTCTCTTCCACTCACACCTTCCTGCCTGTAGGTCTTTCTTATTAGACTGAATTACCATTCTCCTTTTTGCCAATCTGCACCCCACCCCTCGCTGCTGCAGGTGCTGTGACAAGCGGCTTTGGACACACATTGACCTGAGCCGTCGGAAATCCATTACCCCCTCCATGCTAAGTGGCATCATCCGCCGGCAACCTGCCAGTCTTGACCTTAGCTGGACCAACATCTCCAAAAAGCAGCTGATGTGGCTTCTAAACAGGCTACAAGGTATTGTTGCCGGGCAGTGGCAGAAGGGGGAAGAGGAAGGCTTTGTGGGAGTCAGTGTTTGTTTATTCAGTGTCTTTAGATGAACAGGTATTGTTGAGGTGGTGTGTGCTGTGTTCAAAATAGACAAGAAGTCCAGGCGAGGGGCAAAGGTGTCTGCAAGCCTTCTTCTGTCCCAGATGTTCTAGATGCTTTCCACTGCTAACTCTCTGTACCGCAGCAGAGACTGATGGGGAGGAAACCCCGAGCAAAGTAGGAGTGGAGAGGACTGGACAGAGCAGTCTTCATGTTTTTCATGTGCATGACCGTGCGTCTTTCCAGACTGTTTCTACATCATGCTGCTTTGAAAACAGTGCATGAAAAATTGCATTGTCTTTGTGTCTTTCCCCCACAAAATACACATTTTTCTTGTTTCCAATCAGCCCTAAAATCCATGATCTGTACACATCTGGGTGCTTTCCTTTTTGAGCTGAGAAGCACCTAAACTGAAGGATAGCCAACTTCTGATTTTGGTGTCATTCCACTCAGGGCAAATAAAAATGCCTGTAGGAGTAGGGCTGAGTTCTGCATGACTGGGGTGTGGCTTTCTGGGTGGGGAATACTGGGCAATTTCAGGGTTCTGAGGGACCGTCTACCTTGGAACAAGAGGGAGGAATAAAGAGCAAGGAATTTCGGGTTCCCTGAGGCCTAATAGGAACTGCAGCAGTAAACCTTTTTCTGGGCTGCACCACTGCAGATGGGAGATAAGGGGCTCACATGCTTGAAGGCTCTCCCCTGCCAGGGAAAGTGGGGGCAGAGCAGACACTAGCATGGTGGGGCAAGGCTTTCGAGCCGAGCTTCCCCAGGATTGTGAGCTTTCTGTGTGGGACAGAACGGATTTGTGGGGAGGTATGTTCAGTCCTGGGAGCCACTCTGTCTGCAGCCTCAGGTGGTGCACACCAGGCGTGAGCACACCCCACCCCTGAGGGCGAGAGTGCTCAAAGCGGGAGGCAGTGCAGTAGGGTGGGCAGCGAGCCAGGACCAGGCAGCAGGGCCAAGACCCTCTGTGTGAGCAGCAGGACACGTCCGTGCAAATATTTATAGGCTGGGGCACTTTCCCCTGGACTTCCTCCCCTACTGTCTGGGGTATCTTTTGGGATGGGGAAGCAGGAGGCCCTGAAGCAGGAAGGGGAAACGGGCTGCCTGCCGTTCCTTGGATCCCGGCCCAGGACCCCGTGTTCGTCTGCAGTGGGAGGCCTTCTTGTGGGGTGGGGGGCAGGAAGGGTCGCTTTGGGGGAGGGCTGGTCGCATCTCTCGGGAGGGAGGAGGGACACTTCCTGAGTGGCTCTCTCACCCTCCCAAGTGCTTTCTCCTCGTCCCCCCAGGCCTCAAAGAGCTCATCCTGACAGGCTGCTCCTGGTGCTCTGTGTCGGCACTCAGCACAGCCAGCTTCCCCTCCCTACGGCTCCTGGATTTGCGCTGGATCGAGGACGTCAAGGACTCGCACCTCCGCGAGCTGCTGTTGCCTGCCACGGACGCCAGGCCGGGTAAAAACTGGGAACACGCGGGCGGGCGGGCGGGCGGGTGGGCGGGCAGGGGAAATGCCCACGTGCCTGGTGGAAGCTCCTTGCAGCAAACACTCCCTGGCAGAAAGGAAGAGAAGGCTGGCTCTCTCTTTCCACTCTCCGTCCTCCAGCAAACAACGGACGAGCTCCTGAGCGCCAGAGACTGGCATGTGCCGCTGCTCTGCCTTCCCAAATTATTTCCTGGACATTCCACTTCCTGGGCCAGGAGGAGGGCCAGGGGCCCATGGCAGCCTCCTCCCTCGTTAGGCCAGGCCTGCGCCACTGGCTGTCCCATCGGGCCTAGCGTGAGCCCAGTCGCCAGGTAGCGCAGCCCACCAGGAGTGCCCACAGCCTCCTTGCTCTCGGCCTTGTGCCTGCCATCATGGTGCGTGGAGGCGGGTTGTCGGCACAACCGTCCGTGGCTGGCAGGGGCTGCATTTCAGCGGGCTGGCCAGGTGCTGCGTGGGCTGGCCTCCCGGAAGAGGCTTTCCCAGACTGCATTCCAGTGGGTGCGGCCAGAGCAACCGGGCAGTTTCCAGACGACTGCGTATGTTAGCTTTACTGCTAGTCCTGCTGGTAGCTCGGCCTCAGGAGAGCCATTTCAGTGTTTCACAATGGAGGAGAAACCAATGGAGGAGGAGGAGAAAGCCAGGAAAATATCGGATGGCATGTAGGCAGAGAAAGTGGTGGAGCCAGAATGCAGCCAAGTGACCATCCAGGTAGCCTCAGGGTGTTAGATTGGTAGCCTGTCAGCTGGGATGTTGGGAGCTGTAGTGTAACAGGGAACCAGGATGGGGAAGACTATTCTAAGCTCTTGGGTGTTTGCTGTCAGCAAGGAGGCCTTGGTGGGGCCCCAAGGGCTGCATCAGCCCCCACAAACCCAGTGCTCTTCAGACAGTTTGGTTGAAGTCTCCCAACTGACGAGGGCTGATGGGAGCTGGAGGCCACGATGTCTGGAAGGAGCCATGAACAAGGCTGGGCCATCTCAATTCAACATCCTTTTCTGCCTCTCCACCGTCTCCTAATCCTCCCCTTGGATCACAGGAGAGATTCATGAGACGCGGCATGAATGCTGCCCTCCTTCAGCTGTTCTCTCCCCCCAGATCCTCTGGCCACTGCTCAGCTGGCCACGAACGGTGGCCACGCTCTGCTCCCCAGAGCTGTCCAGGTGACTCACGTACCTCTTTATTTCCTCGTCCTCCTACTTATCCGCTAGGCCAGACCGACAGTCGGGGCCGGCTCCAGAATGTTTGTGAGCTGCGGCTCTCCGGGCTGGACATCACGGACTCGTCATTGCGCTTGGTGATCCGGCACACCCCCCAGCTAACCAAACTGGACCTGAGCCACTGCAACCATGTGGGCGACCAGTCTGTTAACCTGCTGACCACTGCTAATTCCCCGCTCCGAGAGACCCTTGCCGAGCTCAACCTCGCCGGTGAGTGGCAGAGGGCAGGGCAGGGCTCCTTCCCCCGGGCGCCTTTCTTCTTGGCTCCATCCATCCTTGGCTGGCTCCAGGCCAGACCTGAGCACTTCCCATCTGTGCAGACCCCGTGTCGCCTCCACCCAGTCCCAGCTGCACTGTGGGACCTGCAGGGGGCATTGAACCGGCAAGGGACAGGAACTGTCCCCGGGGAGAGAAAGCAAACGAAAAGACAATTGATCGTGCAGGCCGCATGCTGTTTTTATGGGCGTTTCACCTGTCACCGTTTCCGTTCTTCCCTGCACTCCCCCCCACCCCCTGCCTTCCAAATTTAATTATTTAATTTCCCGGGAACTGTAATTTTGCGAGGGTGCTGCGATCTGTAGGCCTGCTCCTCAGAACTACAATTCCCATGGTTCCTTGGAGCAGCAGATGACGATTTAGCCCTGGTAATGCCTGCAGCACAGGTGTACCCAGCACCCAAGCCATAAGCTGAGCATCTGCAACCGAGTGCCGTCCGGTGTGTTGCACTTCTCCCATCATCCCCTGCCAGCCTAGCTCAGTCCCAAACACCTGGAAGCCATCAGAAGGGGAAAGGATGGTTTAATGCGACTCAGCCTTCCCTGTGTACACTTTCCTTCTAAATTAAGGGCCACAGGCATTCCGGGTGGCCCTTGGGTTTGGCAAGCTCCGTCCTAGCTCACCTCTTTTTCAAAACTCCTCCATATGCCTGAAAGCCGGGAGCTTGGCTGCTGCGCATCACGTTGCGATGCCCGCCTTGTCCCTCGGAGGGGGAAGGTCCAATCTGGGGAGCCCTCCTTCCGACAGGGGCTCCGCCGCTCTCCCTGGCGGGGAGGGCTCTGCCCTGACTCTCCTCTTCCCGCTCTCCCCTTGCAGGATGCAACCGGCTGACAGACCAGTGTCTGCCCCTTTTCCGCCGCTGCCCCCGCCTCTCCCGCATCGACCTGCGCTCCTGCCACCACATCACGCCGGAGGCCTGCGCCCGCTTTGCGGAGGACTCCGTCTCCAACAGCACCTCCGCGCCCCCGGCCCCCGGTTCAGCACCGCCGTTCCGTTGCCCCGAGGAGAAACTGCTCCTGAAAGACAGCTAATACCCACCCTGGGGTGGAGGCGTGGGGCACTCTGCCTCCCCAGTTGGACAACCGGACACGGACTCTGAGAGAACCTTTTTACTTAAAGCCATGCACTGAACCGGAGTGGCGTCTCCGCCCCCTTACGTGTGCAGCGAGGAGGGGGCGGACTGTGCTCCCCCCCGGGTCCGGCCTGCCGAGGGACAGGCTGCCTTTCGCTCCATCCTCTCGTTCCAGGACGCCGCCACGGAGTGAGTGGGGCCCGAGGTAGCCTTGTTGCTTCACCGTGCTGGGAAAGGCGCGCTCCCCCCACCATGCACTGCATCGCCCCACCCCCCTCCCCCCCGGCCCGTGGCACGGCTGGTACCACGCTCTCGTGGGGTCGGGGGAGGGCGGCTGGCGCTCGGCCTTGAAACGCTGGCTCAGGAGGTAGGCAGCTGATTCTGCAGTGTCGGATTATGTTTTTCCTCCCCGCCTCCCCACCCCATGCAGATGTGCACTCGAACCTCCCCCCCCCCCCCCCCACATGCTGCCTTTATGATTTTGGAAGTGCAGACCTGTGCCTGCCTGCCCGCCCGCCTGTTTCTCGCTCCCTCCCCTCCCCCCCCCCCCCACAAACCGCCATTCTCAGTGTTGTTTTAAAAGATGGGGAGGACCAGGCAGCTGATAATTAGACTCCCCCCCAGTCCTGTCTCACGATGCACCCCCGAAGCGCCGTCCACACCCTGTTCCCATTGCAGTGTGTAGACCTTGAATTGCCGCATCACATGGGACCAATCCTGGGGCCGGGGGCGGCTTGACCTGTGCGCTGCTCGTCTACATGACCCCCCCCTTCCCTGCACTATCCCTGGGCCAGAAAGGGCACTCGTACGGCCAGATTAGGGCGCTGAGCCTACAGGTTGTGCTCCTCCGGCCTAGGTACATGCACAGAAAATGTACATTTTGACACATGCGCCTCCCCACCTTTCCCTCCTCGCTGTGCACTCCCCAAATCTGAATGTGCCGACGGTCCCGGGGGGGGGGGGCACGCCCCCGCTGAGTGCCTAAATGGAGCGCCGTTCGCTCCCCCGCACCAAACCACGGCATGCCCCTGCTGCAGTCCGTCCACACACTGCCTCTGCTGCCGTATTGTTTACACGCACAGCCGCACACAAGCCCCGCGTGTGAATGGACACTCGGAGGGACGTTCCGCTCGTGGCCCGCGGCGCGGCGCCCCCCCCACGGAGCCCGCCCCCCTCCCCGCCCGTCCCCCCTTCTTCTCAGAAGCTTCCTCGTGCACACGCAGTGCCTCAGGAGAGCGCTTCGGAAATGCTCCAGCGTGCACCTTTGATCCCCCCGGCATCCTCGTGCCGCACGCGTGTGGGGGAGACGGGGCGGGGGGGGGGCGGCGCCGGGCAGTTCTTTGCTCTGCCTGGAGAAGCTCTGGCTGCTCCCCATCAGCGGAACGCCTCCCCACGGGGTCACAGCAGGCAGAGCCGCCGTGCGCGGCCCAGCCCTCGTCCTCGTTCTGGCGCCACCCCAGGCCACAAGTGGGGGTGCGAGCTTGCACATGTGCATCTGTTTGCACACGCAGAGGAAGTTTTGTCTTCTGCAAGGTCTTTCCACATAAAAGGCTCGCTGCGTGACTAAAGCAGCGCATCAGGAAGGGTGGGCCATCGAACCTCTCCATACCTACAAAGGAGACCTTTGATGAGGAGGCCTGTTACACCCTTAACTGTGTGCATCCATGCCCAGCTGACCGAAGTGGCACAGCCCTTTCTACCAGATGCAGAGCAGTTCTTAGGGCCCCTTCTCACTCGCCCGTTGCAGTAGGGGCAAAGCGTTCCGTGCCACAAAGGCTACGCGGGCACCCCTCTCTCTCGCAGGAGGGGGCCATACTGTGAAAGTGATGTTAGAAGCCCTCCGTCCCCACCTGAGTCAGAGAATGTGGGGCGCCGATGCCAGGAGAACCGGAGAGAGGGACAACAGGGACGGCGGCCCTGAGCCGTTGTCCAGGACGCCACGTGTTCGTTCGCAGCCTGATCCACGGCCGTGTGTGCACTCCTGCTCATCCAAACTGCCCTGCCTCCGCACACACAATAGATGCCCTCTCCCCATCCTGCGTCTCGCACCCCCCCCCCAAGCAGCATACGGTTACACTCCAGTCGCACCCTTCCCCGCACTGCAAGTCCACCATACTGGCTCCCCCCAGGAACCTTCCCCAGCTGGCCGCTCCTCCTGCCTCACCCCCAGATGTGGAGTGCCTGGGTCAGCGCCCTCGACCATGACCAAACTCTGCTTCTCCCCTGTGCGGTCCTGCAAAACGGCCCTGTGGAGATTGGGGCACCTTTAGGGTGGGAACGATGATGGACTCAATATGTTGTATCACTGTACTACTACTTTTTTTTCAAACCCCGTCCCAAAAGGAAACGCAGCTGTCAGATACTTCTATCCCCTCCCCCTTTGTTTTGATCCAGAAGCTTTAAAAAACCACTTTTGAGAAACTGAGGGAAGGCAGCCGCAGCGTGGTTCTTCGCCACGACATTTTGGGCTGGGGTCGGCCGGGTCTTACCTTAATTCTGGTCATCCTCTGTCACAGAGTTTCAAACTTGAACCTCTTCCCGTTTTGTATGTGTATTTTTTTTTATTTTTTAAGGGAACAGGGAAGATAAATACTGTAGGGAAAAACGGTGCAAAAAGAATGTTCCAGACATGTCTGTTCGCGGTCATGTTGCTCCTTGGTGGGTAGGTGGGGTTTCATGGTTAATACAGTTCTTCTTCCCTTGCACCATGTTTACCTCTCTTATAAGTCGGTTTTGCCCCACTTCCTTTTATTTCCTCCCCACAACCATTTTGCTTTGTTGTTGATGTGCTAGAGGTGACAGGGATCTGATTCTGTGGAGCGTTGGACAGGGTGGCAAGGAACGGGGGGGTACCAAGGCCCCTCAGGCCTAGAGTCTCCCCGCAAATGCCCACGTTTTACTCCTTACCAAGATTTCTCATCTCTTTCCCTCCTTCTGTCCCTCCCCCCTTTCTTTCCCCGCTTCCCAGTGTCTTTCTGTGGACAGTCAGAAGCCACCTGGCACATCACCTCCACCTGCGCATTGGGAAGTGGGAAGAGGGCGTGAGGTTGTATTTTCACATTGGTAACCATAACTTTTTTGAAATATATACTTGAACGTTCATTTATTACTAAAACATTACTTGAAAAACGCAGCGATAGGTTGTGGAATCGGAGGCGAGGTTTTCGGTGGTTTTTTTTTTTTTTTAAGGTTCTGTTGGGTGCTTTTTTATTGTTTTAAGAAAATCGGTTCTTTTTGTTATTGCCTTGTTTGTTTTATTTTCATTTGTCTGATTTAAAGAAAATCTTTCCCTCTCACTCCATTAGCCAAAGAGGGCTAAGGTATCTTAATTCTGCCCCTCCCAGAGGTGTTTATTTTTCATTCAAGGGTTTTCACCTTCCTTGGGAAGCCGTTAGAAGCTCCTAAAGGGACGTACTCCGTATCTGAAGAGTCTCATAGCAGGATAACACAATGGGGGTGGGAGACAGTAGATCGCATTTTTGTTGGGGGGGTCTAAGTCAAGCATCCTCCGTCACGCGGAAAACGTTACCTGCATTTTCGGCACAGCGTAATTATGTACTGTAACACCTCGCTTTCATTCATTGTCTCCCCCCACTCCAAATCTGCGTATTCTGTGGTGCAAATCAGATTAGTTGGCTCACCCCCCCCCCCCGGAAACACCCCACCCACCCCTCGTGTGGCTTTGAGCCTGCCACAAAGCAAAATTGTACACTAAGACGCAGGGTTCATTGCGTGCTCAGCAGGGGCTGGGTGGCACGGCGGGTGGTATGAATGGGGGGGGCACCCCCCCTGTGCCATGTCGACCCCCCCCCCGCCGCCCCTGGCTTCCCTGCACCGACTAATCACAGTGATGGGCTGTGGAGGTGCTGTTTCGAACCACGTTTTAAGGTTTGTTTCGTTTCGTTTTGTTCCTAAACTTTGTTTTTAATGGATGTTTTAAGTAAAAAAAGAAAAAGGAAAGAAAGAAAAATACCTCAGGTTTAAATAGAAATGGTGAAGAGGAAAAAAACCCGACATCATCAAAGGGTGTGTTACTATCTCGACGGCTGTGGATGGGGCTGTGGGTCGGCAGACGGCCCGACCGACCGGGAGAGGGGTTTTGGTTTAGCCCAGCGCCCACTGCGGATGGGGGGAGCCCACCGTTCCAGGCCCTCTGCTGAACTTTTCCCACCCACAATCACGCGAAAGGCATACTCGCAATCAGTACACAGGCTGCTGTCTCTGAAACCCACACGGATTGCTCCCGGAATGCTAGAAGAACATGGTGGAATGTCTTTGGATACCCTCCTCCGCCCAAAACATCCTCTTGTTTTCTGCTCCTCATATCCCACGGATCTAGTCTCCCATGAAAGGTTTTAAGGGATTTTGTTTTCCTAGCAGCTATACCATGGAATATGTTCTGGGCACACACACACACACACACACACACACACACACACACACGTGCAAATACAGGCCTCTTCCCAATTTAGCGGACCAAAGCTATATTCCCACTCCTCTCCCCTCTCCCTCCCGGCAGCCAACTGATTCTTCATCCTTTGGCTACAATTTTAATCGCACATGTGCCCATTTTTCTCCCCTTCACCTATCCATCGAGACAAAGACAGCCAGGGGGGAGAAAGCAAAAATACAAAATAAAATAAAATATAAAAATCAAAATCCAGTTTGGAGCCATGTGTCTTTCGCAATGTTCAACCTGCACACCTCCATCCCTGGCCCCCCGGGACTGTTTGGATGGGGGCGGGGGGTGGGGGGGCGTGAGACCGGGTTCCGATCTGAATTTCAGGGGTTCTATTATTGTACAATAACTGTTTGCTATATAAACAAAACAAAAATCAAAAAAGGAATCGCGTTTTGGTCTTAAAGCCTGTTTTTCATTATTTCTCCTTCCCTCTCCAGTTTTATTTTCCTTCCAAAAGAAAATGTTGCAAATAAAAATGTTGGGTTTTTTAAAAAAATATTTTTTTTAATTTTTAATGGGTTCTCTCTTAAGGTTTCTGGAAATATGTTTTTATAAATTCTCCTTTTGTTTTCATTTTCGTTTTTAATTTCGTTTTGTTTTGTGTGTGGGTGCGACATTCCTGGCATGGTGGGGATGATAGGGAGGTGTGAGCCTGGAGTGGGTACATGGTCTGGACTGACGCTTGCCAAATATTTGACATGCCCTTCAAAGACCCTTTACCAGAATTAAAATTGGAAAAAACCCTTAGCCCTGAATCAGAAGAGAGTTCCTTGGAGGATGTATACCAGGGGCCCTCAGGAACCCATTTATGTTTCTGTGGGAATCGTTCTGCATGTGTTGGTCTCTGGCTGTTGATGCAACACATAAGACAGCATAGCAATTTCTTTAAAAAATAAAAAGTATACAACTCCCTGCAAGTAAAATCTAGCAGACAGTGAAGTTCCCTTTCTCCCCGATATGCTAGCTTCTACTCGCAGAGGCTTGATGCATTAGATTTTTGCAGGGCAACGTGCATTCAAAAAATGAGACTTTGCCCAGCTGCAGTCTGAAAGGGCTTGGTCCATTCATCACTTCCTACTTGCTGCATATATAAACCAGGCCTAATCCTGCATGCATGTTCCAGTTGGTCAAAGGCAGTGCTGAGCATTACTCAGTTCTTAGGGGTGGGTGAAAGAAGGGGCAAGGCCAGTGCTGTGAGTCATCGTAAAGTCTGTCACAAGTCCTCCGTTAAATGTGGAGTACTGCTAGATAAATGGATATAAGATTAGAGCCTTGGCTCTTTGTGGCAGGGGTGCATCTTTATTTTTATCTGCCTTTCCTGTTAGCAGCTCAGTGATGGGTACATAGCCCCTCCCGCATTTTACATCTTCACACCAACCCTGCAAGGTAGATTCAGCTGAAAGTGACTTTCATGGATGACTAGGAACTTCAAGCTGGGTTTCCTCAGGCTAGGGCTGATTCTCTTAATTACCTCACCGCACTGGTTTTCACTGTGGAGACCAACATTTCAAATTCAATTATGTTGTAAACCAGCTGTGTACACAGAGATCTAGTTTTACAGTTTAGCTCACGTGGATGTACAAGGGCAGGGGATTGAAAGAGAATGAGGTTCCCACAATTAAAATCCCACAGAAACGGTCTCTCTTCCAGTTTGAACTTGCTTACTCCCTGCTCAGCCTTTTCTCGCCTGGTGCCTTCCAGATATGTTGAACTGCAGTTCCCATCATGGCCATGCTGGCTGGGGATAATGGGAGCTGTACTTCAACACATCTGACAGGGCATCAGATTGGAAGAAGCTGCCTTGAGATGCCAGAAAGCCAAACAACCCCAAACCACAGTGTGTTTCGGAACTGTTCTCCTTCAGGGTATCGAAATATACAAATGAAATGTATATACAAATCATTATCACTAAAAACATACAAAGTAAGAAATTTTAAAATTAGTCAATTATTTGACTAATGATTGACTGCCTACAGCCACCTTTGGGTTAATGCAAGACAACCCTGGCCTTCTGTTGCTCCAAAAAACCATTTCCAATAGTTATTTGAGTCCTCTTAAATGTGTTTGGTTTAATAGCTAAGAGAGTGGCTTGCAGCAGGTTTAACTCTCACGTATTCAAGAAATTGGATTATTAGGAATCCACTATTATTCCAAACATGGGTGAGTTTATTAGGTGGCTGCAATATTAAGGGTGTATCTACCTATGCTGAAAATGGTATGAAATATGTCTATAGGCTTTGGCTCCTGGCCCAATTCCCCCCCCCAAGTTATTTTACTTGCTGCAAAATTGCAACGGATGGTTGTGTTCCCCCAAAAAATGCTTTTTCTGACCATTTCTTCCTTGTACCAGCACCAAGTGATGTCATGAGTATTCTTCATCTAAACCGATAGTGCTCTGAGATGGCCCATGACTTGCCCAGGGGATGAATTTGGGGTGCCTTTCAGATTTCACCCAAAATTATGTAGCTTGAGCCCCACTAAATCCGTTGCTTGAGGGGTCAGGTTGCAGTTTTGGATCCAGATCTCCGCTGCTTTAGGTTGATACTGGTTTTGACAGGGTTTCTAATGCTATAAAAAGGTTCAGAGGTACTGGCATAGCAATAAGCTATATCTAGGCATGTCAGAAGACGGAGAACACCCTGTTTACAACCAAAATAAGTTCCTGTATGCCTTGCTTATACAATCGTGTCCTCCACCTGGGGGGCTATAGTTCACCTCTGAGACTTAATTCTGGGCAAGGATGAAGCAAGATGCTTTGCTGCCTGAGCCAGAGCAACCAACTCCCCCCTTCCCCAAGGAAGGGGTGTGGCACTCAGGGCTAATGAAGGCCCCTTTTGCACTGGGCAGAGAAAACCTCACAAATGTAGCTTCTCTCCTTCCTAGCAGTAAAAATGTGGCAATAAATAAGCATTTCCTGCCATTTCGTGATACGCAAGATCAGCTACCTGAGATGCCCCCCTCCCATCTTCTGATGCAGCATTAATCCACTGAGTACTGGAGAACTCCCTCCAGGAGTGTCTTTAATGTGTCACAGCCCCGGCCATCAAGGTGATATAGGAGTAGACTCTGGTGTAGCAGACGATTGTGTTGGTACTCCTCTGGCAGAGGGACCTGTGTGGGTCCCAGTCAATGAAAGGGCCCTTCTGCATCCATCAAGGAGTGTGGGACCTGTGCAGAGAGGGGGTAGGATTCCTCCTTTGGCCAAGGAACAAACATTCTAAGGTAGCCGCCTCCCACTTGATATCTCCCAGATGCTTTGGTCTTCAACTTCTCTCAATCCTAGCTCATATACACAACCATCAGGAATGCCCAGGGTTGTAGCCCAAGGCAGCTGGAGGGACAACAAAAATGTGTAGAGCATTGAAAAAGCTCCTGCTCTCTCTGTCCTAGGCCAGCGCCTCTCTTACTATGCTTATGATATTATGCTTGTGAATTTCCAGAGGAACTCATTCATCCCCTGCGGATTTTGTACAATGAGCCCTCAGGAGTTTATACTGCTTGGGGTGTGTGGCTCCAGGGCAGAGGGCTTGCTTTGGGTCCCAGGGTCAGTCCTGGTCAGGCAGGGCTTGGGAAGACCCCTGGCTGAAAACATGGAGAGTTCTTGCCAGTCACGTGTAGGCCAGGGTTGGGGAAGCAACCTGGTAGCCTCTAGATATTTTGGATATTGATTCCTGTAATCCCCACCAACTGGCTAGTCATCCCTAATAGGATTCACTCCCAATATTTGGACTGCAGGTCCCATCAGTCCCCCCCAGACTGCTCATGGGCCAGAGATTTGGGCCACTGTGTTACAAAGCACTCGCAGACCCCCGTTTGCCTACGCTGTGGGTACCAATCCAGAGCCAGAGGGACGAACAATCCGACTTGGTAGGATGCCGCTTGGCGTGTTTCTGAATGCATCATCTCAGGTTCATATTTCCCAGCAGTCACGGGCCTCTTTGTCTTTCTTGGTGCCCCCCGAGACCCTGGTGGGCGTGTCTGTATAGCTCTTAGGTAGCCATCCGCCTCCACACCGATAGGTAGACAAAGAAGCTGCCTTCAGTTGCTGAAGGCACAAGATGAAGTGCAAAATAATGAAGTGCTATCAACCCTGAGTGCTTTTGGTCAGAGCAAAGAGCAGAGCTAACCAGTAAGTTTTTATATGGTAAGGAAGAATAACTAGGCCAATTCTAGCCTACCAGTGCGGAAAGGCAGTTTTCTGTGCTGGTACAGAAGATTTCCTTGTGGTTCCCCATGTTATCCACTATTAGGCAGGGGTTTATGAGCTGAATTCTGTAGATTTTAAGACCAACAGTCATCCTGTCGTTTCTCTGTGGTCTTGAGTGTTATGCTCTTTATCTCATTTCACAAGGGTACTTTTTTGTGGTGGTGTTTTTTTTTTTTATTCATTCATTTTATTCGGTTTGATTTTTTTTCACTTTCCCTTTAAAATTTAAAATAACTTCCTTCAGTTTCCCATTTCTGTGTTCTTTTCCTTTCCTCCCCCCTTTTATATTCACTTTTCTTTCTACATGTTTTCCAAGTTGACCCTTTCACTTTTCTATAGGCCACATCTATACAATACAATTCCAATCTGTTTCATTCTGGCTTGTGTGTCATGGTTTCCCTTCCCAGGCAGGCAGCACTGGAAATGGTAGTTCTTTCAAACTGAAAAGGAGATTCCCACAAAGGAATTCTCCATCGCTTTAAGAAACAGCAGTACCCAGACTCCTTTCAGGTAAATTACAGCTGGGTGGGGGTCTTTGAGGGGCACATTTTTTCTCCTCACAACTTAAAGCCCCTTTCACATCTGCTCTTAAAACAATTCCCCCAATAGCTTCAGTTGACTGTTGTTCTCTTTGATTCAGTTTCTGTTCTGTTGTTCTATAGGCTCATGCATTGCATGGTGGGGACATTGTGGCCTTCCAAAAGTGGTTGGACGCCACTCCAGTCAATCCTAGCCAGCAGAGCCAATGGCGAGGACTCATCTGGAAGTCCACAAGTTGCCCACCCTCTTTCCAGGAAGCCATGCCTGTTGACTTCAGTGGGCACAGCACTGGGTTTTGGAGGCCTCCTGGGCACGACAGCCTCCCTCAGTGAGTGGAACTCCTGACCGCCATTTTCACCAGCTGCTCTTGCTCATCCTCCTCGTTGCTTGCATGAAAGGCGAGGAGCCGGCCTGCAACAGCACTCAGTTCTCCTCCTCCTCACCACCTGGGCTGGAGTCACAGGAAGGGCAGCAGCCACACTGCAGAGGGGAAGAGGAGGAGGCCTCCCGCAAGGCTGTGGCCCTCGGTATGTGCCCGGCCGCACCTACCCTTGGCGCCCCAGCCCTGTCTGCACAACCGAAGTCTGCTCTGAAGACTTGAGCTGGTTGCCCGGGGAAATGGGCTACGCCGGGTTACGGGCTGACCGTGGGTTCTG